CCTGCTCCGCCGTGCTCGCCCTGCGTCGAGGGCCGGCTGCGCCGTGCTCCTCACTCCTCCTCACTTCGTCCTACCACCGCACCCCTTTAGACCCTTCACCTGGACGTCTGGGACCCAGCCCCCGTCCCTGGACCGCATCGCGAGCGCTACTTTCTCGTGCTCGTCGACGACTTCACGCGCTACACCACGGTGTTTCCTCTGGAGCAGAAGGCCGACGTGCCTGACATTCTTATTCCGTGGGTCGTAGCTGCGCACCTCCACCGTGGTCCCCCTGTGCTGAGTCTCCACTCCGACCGTGGCGGCGAGTTCGCCCCTTGTCGGCTTGGACAGTTCTGTCGTGCGAAGGGCATCACCCAGTCGTCCACCCTACCGGACTCCCCGCAGCGAAATGGGGTCACTGAGCGACGCATCGGCTTGGTCATGGAGGTGGCTCGTTCCTCCATGATTCATGCCGGTGCACCCCATTTTCTGTGGCCGTTCGTCATTCGCTATGCTGCTCACCAGCTTAAAACTCTGGACGCGATCTCTGCGGCCTCATGTTTCGCCAACCCTTCTTTGGACCGGGTTCCCTGGTGACGCGTCCGCGTTTCACGTCTGGTGCTGCCTCGCTCACATTCGTGCCTCTGGCACAGAGAAGCTCACTGCCCGCACTGTCCCCTGTGTCTTCCTTGGTTTCCCTCTGGACTCCTCTGATTGGCACTTTTACCACACGTTGTCTCACCGCTTCTTTCACTCCCGTGACGCCACTTTCGACGAGTCTGTTTCCTTTTACCAGCGCTTTCCCCACCGAGGTCTCCCGGTTTCCCCTCCCCTGTTTCTGGTCCCCACTCCCCCTGTAGCCCTAGCTCACCTTCCTCCCCGTCCTACTCCGTCTGGTGTGCCTCACGTCACTCCCCTCCTGTCGGTTGTCCCGGTCGAGGAGTCGGCTGACTCTGGTGGCCCTGCAGCACGGTTCTTGCCGCCTGTTTCTCCCCCGGTGTCTCCTCCTCCGCCGTCACAGTCGTCGCCGCCACCGCCGCAGCCACCGCCGCCATCACCGCAGCAGCAGCCGTTCATGGCCTCTGGGGGTGCTGGCATTGAGAAGGGTGCTAGTCCTGGGGTTCCTGTCGTGCCTTGTTCCAGCGGGCTCGGGGGTGGCACCGGTGCTGGAGAGAGTTCTCGCTCTGGGGGTGCTCGTTCTGGGGGTGCTGGAGTGGAGTGTTCCGGAGGTAGCCGCGGTGCAGCTGGCGGTCTTGGTGTTGACGTTGCGCAGCAGCAGCAGCAGCGGTCACCGCCGGTGTCCGCCCTTCACCCGCTCGGCTTTCCCTCCCCTGACCGCTTGCCTGCGCCTCCCCCGCCACCTTCTCCCCTTCCTGTCCACGTTCATGTGTTTCCTCCGCCGGACTTGTTCCCGACTCGTTTCCCACCTCGTCCCCCTCCTGTTACTCCTCCTCTGTTCTCTTACCAGACGCCTCCGTCTCACGTCTGGTCTCGTCGTCCCTCTCGTGCTCGTCATGTCTCCCCTGTTCAGCGTTCTCACCCTATGTTGCTTCGTTCCCACGTGTCTCGTCCTCCCCTCCTGCCTTCGCATCATCCGTCGTCGCTCGCTGTCGCGCCTCCCCCTCTGTCTGACTACCTTCGTGCTGCTCGTCCTCTTGTTCCTTGTGTCCTTGCCTCCCTCGTTACCGACCCGTTAGTTCCTCTCTCGAGTCTTGACGCACTTGTCGCTGATGTCGTTGACATTGCCTCTACCCGCCGCCTTGACTACGCCTCCGCTCTGGTCTCTGACCCTGTCCGTCCTCCGTCCGTCAGGGGTGCTCCTTCCCTTGGCAGTAACGTCCTAGAGGACATGCAGTACGAGCTTGCTTTCCTCTCCAAGGCTGCTCCCCATCTCTGTTCTATGCTGCTAGTCCGTGAGGGTGAACCAGACGCCTTTGATATCTCGACCCCTCGCACTTACGCTGAGGCGATCTCGAGACCCTGGGCCTCTCAGTGGATAGCTACCACGGAGCAGGAGATGGCATCTTTGAGATCCACCGGCACCTACATCGACGCAGTTCCCCCACCTTGGGTGAACGTAGTCGACGGCCGGTGGCTCTTCAAGGTGAAGCGCCCCCCTGGAGAGCCGCCTGTCTTCAAGGCGCACTACGTGGCTAGAGGCTTCAGTCAGCGAGAGGGGGTGGACTTCTTTCAAACCTTCGCCCCGACCCCAAAGATGACTACTCTTCGAGCGCTGCTATACGTAGCAGCACAACGTGACTATGAGCTCCACTCCCTAGACTTCTCCACTTCTTTTCTTCAGGGCAGCCTACATGAGCAGGTCTATCTGCGCCGATCGCAGGGCTTCACCGGTACCTTCCCTCCTGAGACCCAGTGGCTCTCTGACGCCGAGTCTACGGCCTGCGACAGGCGCCCCGTGAGTGGCACTACACCCTGCGTGCTACGCTAGCTGACCTGCAGTTCTTTCCAACTTCTGCAGACCATTCGCTCTTCGTTCGTGCTGGCCAGACTCCGTTCTACATCCTTGTTTACGTAGACGACTTGGTCTTGGGGTGTTGCCATGGGGTGTAGGGTGCTGCCAAAATGCTCGAGGATCCCATCTTCTGGCATGCATGTCACCTCTTTTGTTCCCATCCACTTACGTCACCTCCAGGTTCCAAAATTGGTTTTGGGCTGCCCTTTGAAAACAGGGTTGCCCCACCAAAACACCCTGTCACACAGGGTACCTAACTCTGGTAGTCTGATTTTTCAGGGTAAACATTTTGCAGCTTTGTTTACACACGGTATATTTAAACCACCCTGTTCTTCATTGCCCTCTGCATTGCAATTTAAAGCCATGGACTACAATAGCGAAAGTGTTTTTGAACTTCGGATGGACAGGAGCTTGGGTTGTATTGTTGGCTTGACGAAATGTACAGTGCGACACGTTTGACGTGTTAAGATTATATAAGTTATATATAGTTGATAGGCTTGGTAGTTGTTACTGAACCTTTCTGTAGAGGGTACAATCCCCTCCTTGTACCTCTCTCTCTTCCTAATCGTTTCACTTCCCTCTCGACATTCTCTCCCCCGCTCCTAGATCTACTTTCCTCACGCCATTCCATGGCGGTATTCCTTGCATCCTAGCTTTCTAGCTGGGCTAGTGTCCTAAGTTTCTAAGATGGTATCAGAGTCGGTCGTTTCCACCGAGCCCGCTCACGCTTCCGCCCCTACGCTCCTAGCCGGCCCCCTGGCCGTTCATGCCCGTCCCTAGCCGGCCCCCTGGCCGTCGCGCTCGTCCCTAGCTGGCCCCCTGGTCGTTCGCTCCTGTCCCTAGCCGGCCCCCTGGCCGTCGCGCTCGTCCCTAGCCGGCCCCCTGGCCGTTCGCGCCCGTCCCTAGCCGGCCCCCTGGTTGTTCGCACCTGTCCCTAGCCGGCCCCTTGGTTGTCGCGCTCGTCCCTAGCCGGCCCCCTGGCCGTTCGCGCCCGTCCCTAGCCGGCCCCCTGGCCGTTCGCGCCCGCCCTTAGCCGACTCACCCGCCGTCGCGGCCATGTGTATCCGTCGTTGTGGCGCTGCCGTCGCAGCCCCAGCGCGTAACGTCGACGCCGCACCTCAGTACCGGCGCCGTGCTGTCAGCACGGCGTCGACGTCCCGCCGTGGCATCGACGCCGCACCATGGCGATGTCATAATGTCGCGGCGGCGGCGTCTTCGGACTGCGGCCGGCCAAGCGACGTCTGTGGCGCCGCCGGACCTGCCGCCCACTCGCCAGCCACGGGCGTCACTCAGGTCGCCGTCCTCCCGCCAGTAAGCGTCGCGCCATTTATGGCGCGTCGCTGGAGACTCGCCACCGCCCCCGCCCCTATTCTCCCTTCCCCCTGCGTCTCCTCCTGCTCCTGTTGCAGCTGCTGACTCCTACCCGGTCGTCGCCGGGCCGTGACACACCGCCGAGAGCCCTCAGCCGCGGCCGTTGCCTTTGCTGCCTCTCGGCGAATGGGGATGTCACCACATCACGCACGAGGGGTAGATGCCCGGCTGCTTACGAGCATGAAGGTGTAAGGGTGTCGGGGGTGTGGTGTGTTGGGTGGGTGTGTGACTACCAAGCCTAGGGGGTGTGTTAAGATTATATAAGTTATATATAATTGATAGGCTTGGTAGTTGTTACTGAACCTTTATGTAGAGGGTACAATCCCCTCCTTGTACCTCTCTCTCTTCCTAATCGTTTCACTTCCCTCTCGACATTCTCTCCCCCGGTCCTAGATCTACTTTCCTCACGCCATTCCATGGCGGTATTCCTTGCATCCTAGCTTCCTAGCTAGGCTAGTGTTTTAAGTTTCTAAGATGACGTACTTGCGACTCAAGCGAGTTGCGCATGGGTGGGGGGCGAAATTGGAGGGGCGGGCGAATGAAAGTTGCAAGGGCGGGAAAGGAATTTCAGTGGGTGGCAGATTTCGTGAAGGGCCAATGAACGCTCTCTCACGCACACCCTCCAGCACACATCAGCAGAAACAATTGAAGGTACAATCGGTCCCCTCACACCTACTCGAGTAAAGTTTGCCGGAAATTTGGCTAAGGGCCAATCAGCACCCTCCCTCACAGCCCCCAGCACACATCGAGCGCTGATTTTGGCTAAAGGCCAGTTGGCGCCCTCACAGAGTCTCCAGCACGCATCTGGCTCGCTAGACAGCGCATTAAGGGTAGTTGCTTTGCTGCCTGCCATGTTTCATTAGGGCTGGAGGGTCGCAAATCCTGGTTTTTGAAGGGTAAACAATCTACCACAATTTTTTAATCAGGGTTATAAAATCGCAAACCCTGAAAAATCAGCTTAACTCGAAAAAATACCGTGAAGAAGAGAGTAATCAGGGCATTCTGCCCGGATATTTTGGGCCTTGTATACGCCCCCCTTTTATTTAGTAAAACACTGCACCAGAATGAGTGAACGAGTTCAGGTAATAACGAAATCTCTCACTTCGCGCCAGCAAGATTCGCGTCAGAAACGCATGGTTCCAGGCTGGCACATTGCCGACAGGACATTTCAGCTTGATTGACCTGGAGATCTCCGTAAAAACAATTCCCGTTGCATGGAACAGACCAAACGCTAAATTCTGATGAAAAATATGGTGCATATATTCCCTTTTAGACGCCGGCGTATATTTATTATTTGAATAAACGCCCCCCAACGATTTCAAACCAGTCCCTTAAACGCCACTAGGGGCGCTTATCCGGGGGAATACGGTACTAGACCTAGTCACAAATGTACAAGTTGACAGGAGGAAAAGAGAGAAGTGCCTTCGCCAGTGTCGAGGCTGGCAACAAGGGACTCGTCTCATATCATAAGAAAAGCGAATGGTTACCAGACCAGAGCAAAAAGATTGCAGCAGACCCAACCCAACTTGCAGCAGGCGTTGTTCGAGCATTCCTGCCAAACACCACCCTCGTCCACATCTGGTCCCGTCCTCTGCTAGGAAATGCATTTCTATGACCTGTTCTTGAGTTCGGCCAGTCGCCTTGTCAAGTCGTCCTCAGCATTGGTCGCTGCTTCTTTAGATGGCAAGGCGCTTGTTGCTGCGTCTGGCAGCCCAATACGCACCTCCAGCCCATGCTCGTCTGCCACCTGGGGATTTGGTGTGGGGGGAGGGAGGGGAGGGGGAGGGGTGGGGGGTTTTGGGGAATGCGAGAGTGGTGGACAACATTTCAAGTGGATGGATCGGAATGTGAGAATGGCTGTATACAGACCCCAAACAAATGCATTTTGCATATACAAGTAGGTTTAAAACCGTGGCAACAAGAGCTCACTAGCAGCAGCAGCCCAAGTGGATTTGAACGAGAATGTTGGACAGCAGCAAAAGGGAAAGGTAGAACAGGGAAACAGGACACGAAAATTCCGACTGACCTGCTGCATGAGCGCGTTGACGTCATCATCTAGTGTCGACAGAGCCGTGCAAGATTGCCAGACAAGTCAAAGAGCGGAACATGGAACGGAATTCCTCACTAACCTGTTGCATGGGCTTGTTGCGCCTCAAAACCAAACTGTTCTAAAAACCAATGCGTGAACTCCTCCTACTGACCCGTTGCATGAGCATGGTCACATCCTCCTCCGGCGTGGACGGCGCCGTGCTGCTGTGCATCGCGTTCTCCACGAGCTGCGACTGCACCTCAGAGTCGGGTGCTCTGAGCCGCCCCGAAAGCAGAGTACGGAATTTCTGACTGAAATTGTGACTGACATTCTGACTGAGACTCTGGCTAAGACTCTTGCTAACCTGTTGCATGAGCATGTTGACGTCCTCCTCCGGCGTGGACAGCGCCGTGCTGCTGTGCATCGCGTTCTCCACGAACTGCGACTGGACCTCCATGTTCACGAACTGCCGCTCGAACACGTCCATCGTCTCCGAGATCTTCTGCAGGTTGCTGCTCGCGAGCGCCGAGTCCAGAACCTTCACAATGCTCCCCATGGAGTGCGTGATCGTGTTCATCCGAGCCTGCGTGTCGAGCCGAGCGATAACCGCGTCTAGACGGTTCGATAAGCGGAGGTAATTCAGCTGCTCGGATCGTTTCCGGATGGCGTTCTGGGCGTAGATCTTGCCGCCTTCCATGTTGCCTTTTTCGATGGCTCGCTTGACTTTGAGCTTCTGCTCCTTCTCCTCCTTCTCGCACTTCTTCGCCTGCCGGACCAGCGTCTTCGACGTGAACTTGAGCTGGAAAATCTGGTCCATGAGCTTCTCTTGATTCCCCATGGCTGCTTGGCTCTAAGTAACTAGGCTTAGGTGTTGAGAACGAGGAGAAAGCGTCGCAGCTAGTCCGTGAACTTAGCGCGAAGCCAAACGAAGCGATTAAGCAAGCGCAGCAGAAGCCAGGATGCAAAAACCGTTGCGTTGACGAGGAGCTGGAGAAAGAATCGAACTGAAATAGAAATATTCGACGAGGAAAACGAGTGATGCTGTCACGTGCAGACGCAACGGTGGAGCAGCTATAACGCAGAGAGGGCAGCTGAGCGCGCGGTACATGGGTTGCGCAACCCATTGAAGTTGCGCAACCCGCTGTGGTTACCGGGCTCGCCGAACCTCGCATGGCGTGTGAAAGATGGCCTGAGCTGAATTTGGTTGGGTTGGATTGGGTTTTTCGCCAGTTGCGCAATCCGGTTTGCGGTCTCGAGGCCGAGCGCAACCCATGTACCACGCCCTGAGGAGGAATGAACAGATGGATGGATGGATGGGATGGTCGTGGATAAAGGAAGCCACAGGAGGAAGGTGAAGCGAAGGTGGTAGCTGGAGTGTTGAGTGAACAAGCGACGGCGTACGCGCTTTAGCATCAACGCTTTCGAGAAAAGACTATTGGGAAGGAAACAAAGAAACTAGGCTATTTACACCTAGCCGACTTAACTCAACCCCATTTTGCATCTAGCATTATGGATGCCTTCCACCCAGCCACATGAAGGCCCTTGTTGTAAGCGCCCTAGCGCAGAAAACACCAATTAATATGCATAAAAGCAATACAATGAATGGAGCCGTAATCGTCCACGACCCGCCACACCACCCCCTTCTCGTACGCGGCCAGGCGACCTTGTGAAGAGAGCCGAACACCCGGAGGAAGGTAGGCAAACCCCTGTGATAATACACACAATAAAGAGTACAACAGGAGCATGTTCCAATCTCTGGATCTGTGAAATAGGAACCATTACAAGATCTGGCATGAGTGAGCAGAACAGGTTGGGGGAAGGAAGAAGGGAAGGAATTGAACGAAGGGTATGTGATAATGAGATGCTGCCAGATGTCCCAACCCCTGCTTGCCTGTTGTATGGCTTGCGACATGGCAGCGACAGCGGTGCAGCGGGCGTCCTCGTCAGCCATGGTCTTCTCCCAGGGCACCTTGGACAGGTCAGCTGCTGATGTGGCAAGCATGTCCAGCCCTGATTGGTTGGCAAGAAGCAGCTCGGGCGATGCCTGTATCGAGAGCAAGGTAAGGCAAGGGAGGACGGTGGCATGAAAACAGAAGTATTGAGGCCATGCCGACAGATGTGACGGACTGTGTGTGCATAGTGTGTGTGTGCATGTGTGCGTGCGTGCGTGCGTGCGCGTGTGTGCGTGCGTGCGTGTGTGTGCGTGTGTGTGTGTGTGCGCGTGTGTGTGTGTGTGTGTGTGTGTGTGTGTGTGTGTGTGTGTGGAGGGCGGAAAAGGGGCAAGAATAAGGGGGAGGAGGGAAAGAGGAAATGGGGCAGGTGAGAGGAAAGGAAGGAGCCTCAAGAATGGAAGAGTCGTGAGCGTAACCTCCATGCACTGCAGATTATGGCATCTTGATGCCCCACCGCACTCAGCAGGTGAGACAAGAGGGAAAGGAAGAGAGGCGAGCAGGGAAAGACAGTAGACAGAGGGAGAGCCGTACCTGCCATGCGATGCAGCTGATGGCGTGGCAATGCTCCCACAGCACTCAGCAGGCGAGATGAGAGAGACCAAAAGGGAGAGTCAAGAGAAAATGAAACAGTCTCAAGAGAGCCAAAGAGAGGGTCGAAAAGGGCTAAGAGAGAGCCGCACCCGCCATGCGATGCAGATGATGGCGTCGTGGTGCTCCCACAGCACCCTCAGCAGGCGGGACAAGTCGCCGCCCACCAGCGCCGCTCCCGCTGCTGGGGACAGGTCCGACCCCACTGCCACTCTGTGAGGTGAACAGGGGCGACAGGGGCAACAGGGGCATATGAATGCGCTCGTGCATGTGTGTGAAAGAGCGAGTGAACAGGCGAGATCAATCGCCTCCTGCCAGCGCTGCTGCCGTTGCCGGGGAGAGGTCAGACCCCACTGCCACCCTGACATGGGGGAGAGGAGGGGAGGGGAGAAGTGGGGGCATGATATGAATGGACTTGACCCTGGGCCAGGGGGCATATGAGAGGGTGGGATACGCATGGAAAGGACGGTTCAGGGAATATTAAGAGCGCCTTAAGCAGTGGATCAGGAGACAAGTCGCCGCATGCCAGCACTGCTCCTGCTGCTGGGGAGAGGTCCGACCCAGCCCACTGCCACTCAGAGGAGGGGAGAGTGAGAGAGAGAGAGGAGAGACGGGAGGGGTGTTCAAACGCACATCCCGGGAGAGAGGGAGTGAGTGAGTGAGTGACAGGAGGGTGAGAGGATGGGGCATGACTGCAGCAGCAAGCACACCCCATTGGTCACCTGCACAAACACAGGTGGACAGACCGCACCGCACCACACTCACTTGTAGCTCTGCACGATCCATCTCGCCAGCTGCATGGCATGCGACCCCCCTCCACCCCCTCCTCCACCACTGTTGCCACCACCACCACTAGAAGTCGGCCCTCCAATGCTACCTCCCCCGCCTCCCCCTCTCCCTGCTCGCCCTCCCCCTCCCCCTCCCCCAAACCCTCCGCCTGCTCCCCCTCCCAAGGGACCCAACCCCCCCAGAACCATAGAATCCCCCAACCCTCCACCATTCCCCCCACCACCTCCTCCCCCTCCCCCTCCCCCTCCCCCTCCCCCCATTCCTCCCCCCTTCCCGTCTGCCCCCCCACTCCCAGTCCCGACTCTCATCCCTAGCACTCCTAAGCTGGCCGAACCCTCCCCACCCATCCGGTTAGGTCCGGAACCATTCCCAACAACGCGGCTGGGTCCGGAAACGTCCCCCGCGCCTCCCGCCAGGGCTGCTACAGCACCGCTGGGAGACCGGGCGGCAGAGGCTGTAGCGACTGTAGCAGCACCAGATACAGACGGATGGTGCCGCAGGGCCATGTTGGCAATACCGGGCGGGCGCGCGTCAGGGGAGCGCATATTCGCTGCTGCTGCTGCTGCTGCAGGGTTGGCAGCAGCAGCATTGGCAGCAGCAGCAGCAGTTTGGGAAGAAGCGGCAGCAGCAGTGGTGGGGAGGGGGACCGGAGAGGAGCGATTGGGGTCGAACGATCCCATCCTCATGCCTAACCCCCCGAGTGCCCCTTGACCCATAAGACCCCCCCCTTGACCAGCCAGGCTGCCAACCCCTTGACCAGTCAGGTTACCAAACGAACCCATTCCAAGGCCAGAAGCTAGGGCTGAAAACGCTGCAGCACCCGAGGCACCAGCAGCACTGGCAGCAGCAGCAGCAGCAGCAGCAGCAGCGGCAGCAACAGCAGAGGATGGATTAGCAAGCAGAGCAGCATTCATCCCAGGGGGAAAGCCAGCCGGCAATCCAGAGGTGTTGAGTCCAGAGGCGTTGAGTCCGGGGGTGTTGGATTGTAGCCCTCCAAATGCAGGGGAATTGGAATACAGCCCCGCAAGACCAGGAATGCCAAGACTAGCAAGAGAACCAGGGAACCCCAGCGAACCCCCAGCTGTTCCTCCTCCCCCCCCTGCTGCTCCTCCTCCACCCCCTCCCCCACCACCACCACCAGCAGCAGCAGCAGCGGCCACAGCAGCAGCAGCAGCAGGGTTTGATCCCAGGCCCAGGCCTGCACCCACTCCTTGGCTCATGATTCCTGTTGCTGCCTGCCCGCTGGGGGAAAATCCGGGCAGCCCGAGGGTTCCCAGCTGCCCGAAATTGAAGAAATTTGATGACCCGGGCAGTGATTGCTGACCCAGCGCAGTGGCAGCAGCGGCCACAGCAGAGGGGGCAGTGAAGGATGAAGGAAGGGGGGTAAGTGCAGCAGCAGGACTAGTGGCAGACGCAGCGGGCATTTGGGAAAGCCCATTTTGAAATTTCATCTGCGGCCCGTCCACCTGCATCATTGTCATCATCATCTGCTGCTGCTGCTGCTGCAATTGCTGTTGCTGCTGCTGCTGTTGCTGTTGCTGCTGCTGCTGTTGCTGCTGCTGCTGCAATTGCTGTTGCTGCTGTTGCTTTTGCTGCTGCTGCTGCTGCTGCTGCTGTTGCTGTTGCTGTTGCTGCTGCTGCAGCTGCTGCTGGGGAGGAGACAGGCTCATCGAGATCCTCTGAATGGCGCCCACCACCGACCGCACGTACTGCCTCGCCGTGGCTGCCACTGTCTCTTTGGCGGCCGGGCAGTCAAACACGAACTGGAAGGCGATGGTGAGCACCGAGCGCAGCTGCTGCTGCTGGGAGGGCGGGGACTGCTTGTCTAGGGATGCTGCCAGGTCGAGCGTTTGCCCGTCCTGCAATGGGAGGCGGGTAGAGGGAGGGCACGGAGGCGAACGGGCGGTCAAAGTCGAACTGGAAGGCGATGGTGAGCACCGAGCGCAGATGCTGCTGCTGCTGGGAGGGTGGGGTGGGAACTGCGTGTCTAATGTGACCGCCAGGTCCAGCATTTGCCGTACTGCAATGCAATATTGGGAACCGGGGGGGTGGGGGGGGGGATAGAGAAAGACGAAGTGGAAGGCAATGGTGAGCACCGAGCGCAGCTGCTGCTGCTGGGAGGGCGGGGACTGCTTGCCTTGGGAGGCCGCCAGGTCCAGGGTTTGCCCGTCCTGCTGGTGGGGGACGCCGAGGAGGGGGGATGGTGAGATAGGGGGCATAGTGAGACACAGGGAGGGGAAGGGGCAGTCAAAGGCGAGCTGGAAGGCAATAATGAGCACTGAGCGCAGCTGCTGTTGCTGCTGCTGGGAGGGCTGCTGCGACTGCTTGTCTAGGGATGCCGCCAGGCCCAGGGCTTGCCCGTCCTGCAGTGGAAGGTGGGTAGAGGGAGGGAGCAGGGGGGGAAAGGGAGGTGAAAGACGAGCTGGAAGGCGATTGTTTTGAGGCGCCTCAAAACTAGGCGCCTCAAAGGGGGGGAATGGGAGGTGAAAGGCGAGCTGGAAGGCGATCGTGAGCACTGAGTGCAACAGCTGCTGCGGCTGAGGTGGCTGCTGCGACTGCTTGTCTAGAGATGCTGCCAGGTCCAGAGTTTTGCCCGTCCTGCAATGGTTGGGGGGGGCGGTGTCAGCAGTGGAAGCAGCGTGCACAGGGTAAATGCACACTTAACTAATACTTGACAAGACGTGTTAATTGTGCATGAGTGAGGCGACGGAACGAGTGGGTGGCAACCCACCTGAGAGGGCGGCAGCGACAGCGGAATGACGTGGAAGCCAGATGGCAGCAGGGGGGCGGGGTCAGCAGAGGAAGCAGCGTGAGCGCGCGGGGGCGGTGACTGTCTGGGGGTAGCTTGGGGGGAAACAAATGCACCGACAATCGAACAGTGACTCTACCTGGGAAGCAGGCAGCGACAGCGGGATGACGCGGAAGCCAGATGGCAGCAGGGGTACAGTGTCAGCTGTGGAAGCAGCGTCCACGGGGGCAAACACCAGCTGAGCTGTCGCGCTGTACGGCGGCGCTGACGTGGCAGATGACGCTGATGTGGAGCCTGATGTGCCGTCGTCCTCGATGCCGCTGCAGAGCTGGCGATAATCGGGGAGGCGTGAGAGTGGGGGGGAGGAGGGTGAGTGAGAGTGTGGGGGAGGGGGAGGGGGGAAGAGAGTAGCACGTTTGGCAGAAAAGTGTGTGAGTAGGTGCAGCAAGGAAAGGGGAAGGGGGAGAGTGGGGAGAGTGAAAAAACAACCCTGAGCTGAGGCAAAGGCAGAGGGCTCACCTGCAGCAGGAAGGTCTCTCTCGCTCCCGCCATCCCTCTTGAGGCCGTAGCTGGCTCCAGCTTCACCAACTCGAGGAACTGCCGGGGAAATGAGTGGAGGCCGGAGGGGGAGGGGAGATTGCAAAAGAGAGGGGCAGGGGAGAAAGCACGAGAAAGTGAAAAAGTCATCCCGCTTGTGGCAGCAGCAGGCTCCAGCTCACCAACTCCAGGAACTGCCGGCGAGAAAAGAAGAATGAGAGACTTCCACCCAGGGCGTGACTGCCACAAGCGGGTCCAACCGCCCGAAAGCAGCTCTGACCGCCATAGAGGGGCTCTGACCGCCATAGAGGGGCTCTGACCAGCCCGGCTGCTGCAAACTCAGCGCGGCATCAATAGCACCGCATGCCCTCCCTTCCAAAGAACTCACCGAGTCACCCACCTCTTCCTGGTCCACCAACCGCGTGGGCGAGCGGCAGAGGCACTTTCCCAGCCCCACCAGCAGCAGCACGGGCCCCCATCCCATAGTGGCCAGCCCTGCTGCTGCAGAGTCGGCGTCGATCGTGCCGACTGCCCTCCCATTCAATGTCATCTCTTTCAAATTCAAGCCAACCCACCTCTTCCTGGTCCACAGCATACGCAAGCGGCAGAGGCACTTTCCCGGCGCCGTTGGCAGCAGCACGGGCCCCCATGGTGGCCTGCACTGCTGCTGCAGAGTCGGCGTCGATCGTGCCGTCCGCCCACTCCGAGCGGTGGTGGCGTAGAAATTTAATGAGCAGCACTGGGGAGACGTTCTGGAACAGGTGGGGGGGAGAGAAGAAACAAGGGGAGAGACAGACAGCATGCAGGCGATTGTGCCGTCTGCCCACTCGCAGCAGTGGTGCCACAGTAACTTAATGAGCAACACTGGGGAGACGTTCTGGTGAGAGCAGTGGGGATGAGAGAGTGGGGAGGAAGCGAGGATGAAGGGGTGTGACGGGGGGTGCCCGGGGTTGACGGGGGTGGGTGAGGGGATCACTCAGCACAGGTCAATCGTGCCGTCTGCCCACACAGAGCAGTGGTGCCGTAGGAACTTTACGAGCAGCACTGGGGAGACGTTCTGTGCAGTGGGCAGCGGAGAAGTGGGAGAGGAGGCACGCACTACGCTTTTGAGTCGACTCTGCTTTTGAGTCGACTCAAAAGAGGGGGCACGCGCTACGCATCACAGCAGAGGCGCATCGACATTGCCGTCCACCACTCCCAGCGGTAATGGCCGAGAGATCTTATCAGCCACACAGGAAAGCAGCTGAGGGATTTGAGGGGGTAGTGTGCACTTGCAGCATAGACCCAGGCTCGCACCCACGTGCAACCCCGAGTGCAAACCCAAATGCAGCACTACCAGTAACCCACCTGCAGCAGTACCCACCTGTAGCAGCATAGACGCCTTGGCGCACAGCACTCCCCCCCCAACAGGCCCAGGCGCATCCCCCCCTCCCCCTGCTCCCCCTGCTGCACTCTTCCCTCCAGCTCCAGTGGCTCTGGCAGCGAGGGTGACGTCATCCATGCCGTCACCTGCCATCTGCTCCCACCCGTCGTCAGTAAACCCGTTCACTGCCTCGTTGAAGCCCCTGGGGCGGTGGAATTGAGAATCGAAACGAGGAAGGGGGAAAGGGAGGGAGGGAGGGACAGTATACGCGGTAAGAGTGCGCCATCCCTGCCATCTGTTCCCACCCGTCATCGGAAAACCCATTCACTGCCTCGTTGAAGCTGCTGGGTCCGGTGGATGGGACACTACCCTTCCCCGGGACACTACCCTTCCCCGGGACACTACCCTTCCCCGGGACACTACCTTCCTCGGGACACTACACTTCCCCGGGACACTACGCTTCCCCAGGACACTACTCAGTCCGGTTTCACCCTGCCCTGCTGCCCGCCGCGGTGCGGCTCCTTCCCACATTCCAGCTGTGGCACGTGCTACTGGCAATGCGCTCAGCGATGGCTCTCCACGCCCCTACTCACATAATTTCTGAGGTTACAAGTTTTTTTTTATCAAACTGTCAGTTTTTTGCTAACGCGACCTTCCTACGCTGCTGCTACTCTTCCATGACAACTGATCCCTACTCACATGGCAATGCGCTCAGCGATGGCTCTCCACGCCGTTAACTGTCTGTCCTGCGGCCGTCCCGACTCCGCCCTGCTGCCCGCTGCTCCTCCCTCGCCACTGTTCGCCTCGCCCCCCCCTCCCAACCCCTCATTCGCCACCTTTCGAAGGTACCGCAGAGCCTGTGGTGGTGGTGGGTTGGGCCGAAGGAAAGAGGGGAGGAGGGAAAGAGGAAGAGAGATGGGCTTATGCTGCCTTCTCTCCTGACCCATCATTGGCCACCCTTCGAAGATAGCTTAGGGCCTGTGGTGGTGGTGGGTTGGACGGAGGGGAAATCCGAGAAATTTTCCAGCCAATGAAAAGTACTAGAGCCACTTAACTACAAGGGGGATAGACTAGGATGCACAGAAGTAGAAGGCGCTGGGACGGTAGCACTCTCACGCACCTCGATGGTCATTCGGTGTGCGAGCGCTGCAGAGGACTGGTAGAGCGGCCGCAGCACCTCTGGTACGCTCGACGCCTGGGTTGTCGCCGTGTCGTGTGGGGGGGGGGAGAAGGAGGGGGAGGGGTTGGGGGGAGCGGAGGGGGAGTTAAGTGAGTGCGGTGAGTGAGGGGCGAGCGAGGGGTGAGCGAGGGAGGGGTGAGCGAGGGAGGGGTGAGCGAGTGCAGGGTGAGCGTGGGGTGACCAAGTCAAGTCAAGGTGGTCAATCACCATACCTGCAAGTCAAGGTGGTCAATCACCGTACCTGCAAAGTCAAGGTGGTCAACGGCAATGATCACCGAACCCCCGCCGTCGCACTTACCTATGAGGTTGCCGCTCGGCAACATCTCCGCGCGCACAAAGGACGGCACAGCCGGCATGGCAAGGGGATAGGAGAGTGGCAGGGGGTAGCAACAAACAGCGTACCTGCAGGTCTAGGTGGTCCACGGCAATGATCACTGAGCCGCCGCCGTCGCACTTCCTGATGAGGTACCCGCTGGGCAACATCTCCGCGCGCACAAAGGACGGCACAGCCGGCATGGCAAGGGGATAGGAGAGTGGCAGGGGGTAGCAACAAACAGCGTACCTGCAGGTCTAGGTGGTCCACGGCAATGATCACTGAGCCGCCGCCGTCGCACTTCCTGATGAGGTACCCGCTGGGCAGCATCTCCGCGCGCACAAAGGACGGCACAGCCGGCATGGACGCCCCCCCGTGCGCGTTGCTGAGGGACCGCTCGCAGATGACCACCCCGTCTTCCAGCATTGAGGTGTATCGTAGAGTGCACAGGTCCCGGGGGGGTGCCAGGGTTGTAGGTGCGTACATCTGCACGGGGGGGGTGGAGGAAGCAAGAGTGGGCGTTGCTGAGGGACCGTTCGCAAACGACCACCCCGTCTTCAAGCATTGAGGTGTATCGTAGAGTGCAGAGGTCGCGAGGAGAGGCTAACGTTGTAGGCGCGTACATCTGCACGGTGAAAAACGGACGGAGAGGGGTGGGGAGGGGTGGAGAGAAGGGTGGTCGTAGGGAACAAGGGAGGGAAGAAACCGCTCCAGCTGACCACCTGAGAATACACCTGAGCCTACATGAGAATACATGTGAACGCACCTGGGGACACACCTGAGCGAACGTGAGTGTTGACCTGAGACCTGAGAGCCTACCTGGGTGTAGACCTGAGCCTACCTGGGTGTAAACCTGAGCCTACCTGGGTGTAGACCTGAGCCCACCTGGGTGTAGACGAGCTCGACAGTGCCCCCATTGGGAGTGCGGAAGCCCCCCAGCACGTCGCAGCGCCGGCACTCCCTCAGCCACGCCACGCGGTCCTTTAGAAGCTCCGCTGCCTGTGAGGAAACGAGAGGGGCGGATTAGGGGAGGAAGATATGTGCACTTGTGAACACAGGCGCCCGGTTCTTGAGCACTCCCCCATGCCTAACACTCCCTCAGCAACGCCACCCGTCCCTTGAGGAGGTCCGCTGCCTGCAGGGGAGAGGAGGGGCGGATTGAGGGAAGCAAGCACGAGAGCGTGGGCGTGCAGTGCAGAGTAGCACTCCTCTCAAGCCCTGCATTCCCCCAGCCATGCCACGCGGTCCTTTAGAAGCTCCGCTGCCTGTGAGAAAAGCAACCAACGACCACACACGCACAGTAGAAGATGGCTCAGAGGCGCATCCCCAGCACGCCACAGCGCCACGTCACCCACCCCTCAGCCAGGCCGCGAAGGGAGAAGATGCCGGGGAGAAGAGGGGCGGATTGAGAGAGGGTCGGATAGAGAGAGATAAGCATGCGAGCATGAGAGTGCAGGCTACTGAGGAACTCCCCTCAAGTCTTGCACTCCGTCAGCCATGCCACTCGGCATATTAAAAGCTCCGCTGCCTGCGGGTGAAGGCCGATAGCTGTAATCCACTGCTATACATCGCATCATACCAAAGCACTCACCTTGCTGGGCGGCAGCACTCACCTTGCTGGGCGGCAGCAGCACCAGGCCCGCCGCCCGAGCAGCAACGCCCGGGCCACCACACGCTATGGTGACCTTGCCTATGTACCCTGCTCCGACCTGACAGGGGGAACGAAGGGAGAGAGGAGAGATAGAAACGGGAGGATTGAAGGCGCCTCAAAACAGCACCCAGGCCACCACACGCTATGTTGACCTTGCCTGTGTACCCTGCCCCGATGACGGGAGTGAGGGAGGAAGAGGAGAGACGTGAGAGAGAACAAGAAAGGGAAAGAAAACGGAGGAGAAACGAGGAGAGCCAAAAGATTGAGGAGAAGAGAGGGATGCGAGCGACCTTACACAGTAGGGGGATCTACAATAGGGGGGCACAGGACCTCTCACACTCAGACAGACAGATTCAGTGCGAGAGCAGGCTCTTCTCAGCTCTCACCTTCACTCCCGGCATTTCCACAAAGTCCATTGACGTGCCAGTAGCTTTCGCCAGGAACTCCGAGAGAATCTGCTCCGCTATGGGGAGAAGACTGGCGGGGGGTGGGGGGAGTGCAGGGGACAGGGGGAAGGGGGCAGGGGCAGGGTCAATGGCAGGGGAAGGAGGCAGAGGTCGCAACGGGAGGCGAGAGGGGATGCAGAGAGGGGAGGCGAGAGGGGATGCAGAGAGGGGAGGCGAGAGGGGATGCAGAGAGGGGAGGCGAGAGGGGATGCAGAGAGGGGAGGCGAGAGGGGATGCAGAGAGGGGAGGCGAGAGGGGATGCAGAGAGGGGAGGCGAGAGGGGATGCAGAGAGGGGAGGCGAGAGGGGATGCAGAGAGGGGAGGCGAGAGGGGATGCAGAGAGGGGAGGCGAGAGGGGATGCAGAGAGGGGAGGCGAGAGGGGATGCAGAGAGGGGAGGCGAGAGGGGATGCAGAGAGGGGAGGCGAGAGGGGATGCAGAGAGGGGAGGCGAGAGGGGATGCAGAGAGGGGAGGCGAGAGGGGATGCAGAGAGGGGAGGCGAGAGGGGATGCAGAGAGGGGGGCACGAGACGCACCCAGAGGCTCCAGGGTCGCCAGCAGGAGTGCTGCCCGTGACAGCTGAGTCCGAAGTCAGATTCGTGCCGGCAAACCCCAGCCTCGGAAGCAACTGCTGCTGCCGCTGCTGCTGCTGTTGCTCTGCTTGCTGTGCCATTCCCTGTTGTTGTTGCTGCTGCTGTTGCTGCTGTTGCTGCTGTTGTTGTTGCTGTTGCTGCTGCTGCTGCTGCTGCTGCTGCTGTGCCGCTCCCAGTTGCCGCTGCTTCAGCACATCTAGCGCCGCTGCGCCCCCTGCAAACTCCCCTCCCAGCGCTGCTGCTCGCAGCTGGGAAAATATATCCGGAGGGGCCAGGGGGAGGCCGGGGTGCATTCCCGGGGGGAGAACAGGCTGCTTCCATGGGATGGGGGGAAAGGGGAGGGATGGGGGAACAGACGGGGAGGATCAGACGGGGAGGATGGAATGAGAAAAGCCGAAATAAGGTGTCTGTTGCGGCTGTGCCGCTCCCAGGAGGGGAAAAAGGGGGGGCGTGGGGGGAAGGGGGGGGGGGGGGAGGGAGGGGGAGGGATGATTGGTGGGAGCGGGAATGAGGGGAGGGCGTGAAAGGGCGGAGTGATGGCGGGCTGGGCGAGCAGGCAAGGAATAAACCTCGCGTGCCAACCCAAGGCGGATGCAACGGGTGAGACTAAACCTCGCATCCCAAAAGCAGATGAACGCATGTCCAAAACAACGGAGCGCTTACAGCAGTCGGAATGCCGGGAACGGCTCCCCCCGCCGCAGCAGCGGCAGCAGCCGCGGCACCAGGGAGCTTCAGCGGGTCCGTCGCAGCCGCAGCAGCGGCGGCGGCGGCAGCTGCTGCCGCCACCGAGCCAGGCGGCGCGCCGCCGCCTCCAAGCTGCTGCGAGGCTTCCAGGCGCGCGACCTGCTGGCGCAGCAGCATGTTTTCGAGCGTGAGCTGCGAGATCTTGCGCGTGGACAGCTCGTTCTCTTCGACCAGCAGCTTGTTGAGCGCGGAGAGGCGCGAGTTCATGCTCTGCAGCCGGCTGTACTCCATGCGCTGCCGCTCGCGACATCTAGGGGTTGCGGGTTACAGGATTACAGGGTTACAGGGTTACAGGGTTGGGAGAGCGGAAGCAATAGCAAGGGGCTGGAAATGCAGCGGTGCTATGTCGCTCTCATGAATCGCTTAGGTCAACTGTCTCGAGTTTCCTGAAATGACTTTGGGAAGAGAGTATGGGGTTCCATGTTGACATAGTGGAACGTGAGACGTCGCGCGCCATTCTGAGAATGCTCAAAGATTATCGAAATTACTTTGGGAACAGACTACGGCGTTCGATGTTGAGATAGTGGAACGTGAGACGTCGCGCGCCATTTCAACAGAACAATCTTATTTCCGATGCATTGCGAAAATTCTTCGACAGCATGACAGGGATCATCTTAGCTGATGTCTACGCTTTTCCGAGGAGTCTAGGAGCTCCAAATCGCCTGATGGACCGAACATCATCAGAAGCTCGACGACTCTAACAAGCCCGAGGCAGAAATTTAAAAAATTCCCAACTCGCTTCCGAAGCCTCCACGCAATTATAGCTCTTCTTGAATGAAATGACCCGTGTGACATTGTAACGAGATGACTTTTAAGCCGACTCGAAAGTCATCTAGGAGCTCCAAATCGCCTGATGGACCGAACATCATCAGAAGCTCGACGACTCTAACAAGCCCGAGGCTGAGACCAGAAAAATGATACCGGAAAAGCGTTCTCCCCTCGAAAACGTTCAACAATCTAAAACTCGGCAAGCTCCCTAACGGTCCGCATTAGGTATAAGGTGATTAATACCTTCGGTTCTGGAACCAGACTTTGATCTGCTTCGGCTCGATGTTCGAGAGCACGGGGAACTCCTTGATAAGCTGCGACCGCCGCACGGAGCTCGGCTTCGGACATTCTTTGTAAACTTTCTCCAACACCTCGACCTGCTCGCTCGTGTATCGCACGTATTTCCCTCCCTCCGCAGGACCCTCATTCCCTTGATACTGGTCTCCCTCCTCGTCCTGCTCTCTCTCGTTCTTATCCTCGCCGCTCTCGTGCGATTTCTCCTGCCCTTGCCCCGGTCCTCCAACCGACGTCACCATAATATCCTTCACAAACCTAACGCGTGTTTCTTACGCTTTCCAACCTAACCCTAATTTCGCACTTCCTGGCACACACCGCGCAAGCAACAGTCTCACTCCCCTGGTGACTGGGAGCTCGGGGTTGAAAGAAGGTTGACTGCTCTGCCTGCCAGCCGCAGTTGGGAAGCGTGGCGGTACTCCCAAGGGAATGATGATTCCAGCAGTTGTACTGAGTGCATTCAGTGCAGTCCGCTAGGGTTTTCAAGTTTGCAGCCTTTTGAGCAGCGAGAGTTTGCCCGCCGAAGGGGGGAGTGATCATGAGGAGAAACGAACAAGAGGCGAGGTATGATGGTCCCCGAGGGCGGGACGAGGGAGCGATGATGATCCCGAGGCTGGAGGCATCACGACGGGATAAAACCCGAGGCTAGGCAAGATTTGCCGAGGCACGGGGAACAGCCGGGTATGATGAGGCGAGGCGGCAGCATGATGATCGAGGCCCAAACGCTGTGCTGCGCGAAATGATGATTAGCGCACTGTTGGCGGGAGGCTGGGAAAGTGACACGTTCGGAAGGAGCAAACCCCAACCAAGCCACAAGGGTCATGCACCGCTGGCGGGAAGCTGGACACTGATTTGGGGAACGAGATCACCGAGCCACAAGCCACGGACAATCAGGACATTTGAGTTTGCCTCTGTAGCCTTGCCTGGTCGTCGTGGCTAGCTTGCCAGCAATCACGGGAAGCTAGTTCAGAGGTTTGGGGAGGTGGAAGTTGGAACGTGTACACACTCATCATGCGGAATCCTGTAGCCTGTGTTTTCATTAGTGCGTGCAGCCCGTTTTAATGCGGGCACAAATGTGATTCCGCTTCTACACTCTTCTCGTTTACTCCACTATATTAACCTAAATACTATCAAGCTACACCTTCCTTACTGCACATGAAGCTAAGGCTCTCAAAAGCTAGCACTGCTGGCAGCAGCCTTCCTCTCAACCACTTGGCTATTCACCGCATCTGCAATTTCGCGCACTGCCGCAACCATCGCAATCGGCTCGTTCAGCCGGTTGATAGCTGAACCAACTCCCTGGAAGACGGGCGTTGCACAAATGAGCGGAAAATCAGGCCAGAGAAGACTGGTGAGTGCCTCTGAAAAGGAAGCACGGGCTTTTTGTGCACAACATACCATCAAACAAACACGAGGTAGTCACAATGGCCAGGTTTGGGGCCTGATGGACAGTAACAGTCACGCAAAAGAGAGGCACACAAATCGCGACAAAAAATACGTGTGAGTATGTGAGTGAGGGACGTACCACTCCGGAGGCACCAGCAGCGAAGGCGAGGGGAACCGTGACAGCACTGAGGCCAGAGGCGCACATGACTGGGATGGTGACCGCCCTTGCAATGGAGTAGGTGGCTGCGATGGTGGGGGTGGCCTGCAGGGAGGGAGACACAGACACATGGGCAGTCGCAGAGTCAGGGACACAGCGGCTCAGGCCAGAGGCGCATGTGACTGGGATAGTGACGGCACGGGCGATAGAGTAGGTGGCTGCAATGGTGGGGGTGGCCTGTGGGCAGGGGAATCAGGGAAAACATGGGGATAGCAGACACGGATCAGCAGCTGCAGCAGAGACCAGTGAAACCCAAGGAAATGGATCCTCCCAGGGTCGAACTTCGGCCACTACTTGCCTATATCCATCCATGCATACTAAAAGCCAGCACCTGGGATCCACCAGCCACCTTCCCCAGGAGCCCCTGAACGCCATCCTCTATGCCTCCCTGCATCCCTCGATTGCTCCATCCACCACATCGCGACTCCCCTTGCGTGCCACACCGTCCACCACACCAGCACGAAGCACATGTGCTGCCACTTCGTCGGATGGCTGGATTCCTCGCATGCTTATCTTCTACCTTGCCATTCATAAAGACTGGGCATTAGTGTTTTTTTCATGTAAAATATTCCCCTCCACCCACCTTCTCCACTAGCGCATGAACCCACTCTCCATACCTCCCAACTGCATCCCCAGATCGCTCCATTCACAACATGCCACACCTACTGCATGCCACAGCAGCAAATGTATGCAGCCGTTTCTAAATCCCCACCCACACACCTTCTCCACCAGCCCTTGAACGCCAGCAGAGGAAGCTGCTGAGCTGGTTCCACCCTCGGTCTGGATGACGTCAGCACCACAGTCCTGCAGAGCCTCTGCCAGAGCCACCTGCCGAACGGACCAAGGAAGGGAGGAGAGGGGGGGAGAGGGGGGGAGAGGGGGGAGAGGGGGGGAGAGGGGGGGAGAGGGGGGGAGAGGGGGGGAGAGGGGGGGAGAGGGGGGGAGGGGAGGGGGAGCGGGGGAGGAGGGGGCGGGGGGGGGGAGAGGGGGTGAGAGGGGTGGCATTGTGAAATTCCGAGAAAATCTTCAGAAGGGGGACAGGGGATGGGAGGAGTGGCGGGAGGGGTGATAGAGGCTGGGAAAGTGCATGAACGAGTTGAAGTGAGGCGGTCGGAGAGGTGAGAGGGCGCAGGGGCCCGGAGGCAGGGGGCAACGGGGAGGGGGCAGGGGGGAGGGGGCAGGGGGCAGGGGGGAGGGTGCAAGGGGAAGGGGGCAGGGGGAGGGGGGAGGGGGCAGGGGGCAGGGGGCAGGGGGGAGGGTGCAAGGGGAAGGGGGCAGGGGGGAGGGGGCAAGGGGGAGGGAGCAGGGGGCAGGGGGCAGGGGAGAGGGGGGAGGAGAGGTGCAAAGTGGGTGCAAGGGAGGGAAGGAGAGATGGGACGAGACACTACCTGCTCGGGAAGAGGCAGAGTGTGGGGCACGGTGACAGAGAGGGGGATGGACGGCAGCAGCTGACGTGTGCGCCGAGTCAGCTCAAGAACCTGCACCAGGGAGGGAGGGGGGGGGAGGGGGGGGGGAAGGACAACTCGTAAAACCCGAAAACCTGAAAACCCGAAAACCCCGTCCTCGCGATCCCTGATCTCCTCTCGAGTGAGGGAAGATAAGAAGGGGATTGGAACGCGCGGAAATAATCCCTTCCTCACTCACACTGCCTGGGCCTACTCGCGCTTCCCTGTCGCCAAGTCCAGGACCCTCTGCTGTCTCTCACTAAGCAGTTTCCACCACCCTCCTGTTCAAGCCGTTTCAAATTAACCCTCCCCTCTTCCCCCCAATCCTACGATCCAACTCCCCTTCCACCCCTCCCCCAGCTCCGAATCGACCCCTTAGCAACCCCTTGGTAATCCCCAGGCACCCCCCTAGCAACCGCTTCATATCGCTTTAGCACAGGCGCGCTCACCTCGTCTGCGGTGAACTCGCGGCCATCCGGGTAGAACGAATCGAAGTTGCCAATCTCCACCTGCCACGTGGCATTGACGCGAGAGAGGATTCGGCAAATGAATGCAGCGAGACTGCAAGCGCAGATGAGCAAAGCGGCCAAAGTGAGTTGATTACCACACTGTGAGTTAATCGCCGAATCACGTGCCTTGCTTTCTGATTCGTGGTTCTTATTTCGACTTATTCGACTCATTCGACTTATTCGACTTATCATCAGGATAACCGCGACCACAAGCATCCATCGATTGACTCACCATGTGCGCGCCAGCAGCAACGGCCTCGACGAACTTCTCGGGCTCGACAGCCGACACACAGATCTGCGGGGCGAGGGAGGGAGGCAAGGTGAGGCAGGAAGATGCATACTGCTACCAACGGCTTGACACACGGATTCGAGAAGCAGGCGGGGAGAAGGCAAGCAGGCACAGGGAAGTCAAGCACCATAACGAAGGGAAGTGGAGGAAGAGCGCGAAGTGAGAGCAGGAGAAAAAGGGGGGAAAGGGGGAATCGGGGAGTGGGGTGAGGGTTGGGGAGGGGGGATGGGAGGAAGATTTTATAAGGTAGGTCGCATACACATACTCGCGTCGAGGGGAAAGCTTACGGGGAGGGTGGTGAGAGAGCGAGCAAGGCGAACAAGGTCGGCATCGCAGGCAATGTCAACGACGGTGGCTCCTCCCTGGGAAGAGAATGGGGAAAAGAAGGCAGGAGAAAGGGGACAAGGATAACGGGGAACGGAAGTGAACGGGGAAATCGGAGGGAAAGAAAGAGTGAAACCCAGGCGAACGAGGCGAACGAGGCGAACGAGGCGAACGAGGTGGGCATTGCAAGCAATGTCAGCGACGGTGGCCCCGCCGTGGTGAGAGAACCGGGAGGGAAGAACGCAGACGAATGCAACGGACTGAGGAAGAGTCAAACAAAGTGACGGAAGAGATCCAAATCCAACACTATTTTGTAATGAGAGCCGATGTTCGAAGGGGAAGGGGGAAATGGGAACGACGGAGGCATGGCAATGGGGGGTCGACTACTAGAGAGGGCTGCTTTTGAGTCGACTCAAGAGGCGTACCTTCTCTGCAGCGGAGACGACAGCAGCGACAGAGTCGGCATTGAAGTTGTTGAGCCCTGCGATAGCCTGAGAAAGAGCAGGGGAAAACAAAAAGAGCGAGAAGATACGGAAAAAGAGAACAAAAATGGGGATGATTTCGCGAATGCGAAGGAACAAACCAGTGATCTTAGGTTTCACAAGGAAGGTGCTCTACTTCTGAGGCGCCTCAAAAAGAGACTCCTCACGCAGGAAGGTGTATATTTCACTGCGTGAAAGAATGCGAGGGTCAGATGCTCACTTCGACCGCTGACGAACGGACAATCTAGAATTTTTAAGTCGGCCGATTGATAGAGGGTTCGATGATCTTGGTACGTCCATGAGTCGAAGCGGCACTGGCAAACTCTTCTAGCACTATGACCCAGGTACGTACGGATTCATACTGATCCTAACGTACAACTTTCGCGAAATGCACACCTTGAAAGCCTTCTTCTCGCGGAAAGATCTCAGAGCAAAGGATCGGTTGCTCGCGTCGTTCGAAGCAGACGGCTTCGCGGAGCACCTGACGGCGCCGTTAGTCTTGCCGGCCGGCGCTAGGCCCTTGCTGACGGAAGCAGCGGAGCGTAGAGCCGGAGCCCCAGAGATAGCTGCAGAGCTGGCAAGAGCTCTGGATGACGTGGCAGACGCGGAAAATGCGGTGGTCGCCACCATTGAGGAGAGGGAGCTGGAGGTAAGAGCAGCCATGGCTTGAGATATAGAACGAATGAGTTACTATCCGTAAAGAAGCAGATGTCGACTGCTCGACTCCCTCTCCTGTACGTGGGACTGGGTGGTGGCTGGGATGTCGTGAGAGGAGACTTGAAATGCTGGAATACCAGAGATACAATACTGAGAAATCTTCAGGCAGTAGTTTATGCTGAAATACCAGGCAGGTCTGAGGGCCTGGAAGATTTCCACAAACAAGGAGCCAGGTTCGAGGTTGAAAATGGTGTGGTGTGTTTTTGTACGTTCTAGTCAGAAATATGCATGGTACAGTGAGGCGAATGTTCCCCCCTTCTCCATAAAGGTCAGGTGATGCAGATCGCAAGGCGACACAAGGAGCAGAAATCTGGAGGTCATCGACGGGGAAAGGCGGAATCAAGCCGAAAGTTGCGGGAGACTGGCTGGGACTACGGGGGAGCGGGCCGCTGGCGCAAGAAAAGGGAGGTCAGGGGGGAGGGAATTCGCGGCGGGAGCGGAGAAAGGCACTGCGCCAGATGATTGCGTGGCAGTTTGGAAGGGTAATGATGCTTGTAATGTCGTGATTGGATCAGGCCTGCTGCGATCAGCGGTGCTGACGCTGCACGGGCCTACATGCTAAGTGGAACCACTTGGCGAACGCGGACTGGTCTTTCATCCTGCTTTTTGCGAAAATCTCCCGCAGCTTCGCACATTCCACCCACGGCAAATATCATCCTGATTAGTAAGTTTTTGCTCTAGTACACGAACATCCTTTCAGAGTACAGGTGCAAGAAACTACCAGCACTTGATTAGGTCACAAACAATTACAGAAAAGCACTGGCACAAATATGCTCGTTCTCTACTAGATCCCCTTGAGTTGCCTCATCAGAACCGTGCCCTACATGCACTCCCGATTGCGACCTCGAAATGCTCGCGCAAAATGACCACTTCTCGCAGAAGCGGCTTGAGATGTAGGATCAGAAAAAGAATTCACAAGTGTGTCGAAGCCCCTTAGCAGGTGACGTAGCTGGTGGTAGAGGAGAATCGGGGTCAGGTACGATGACAACGGACCGGTTTCGCCTCCTGTGCATCCCATGTTGACCTGGAGAAGGTACGGGAAGGGGGGGGAAGGGGGGTGGTAGTGATATTATGAGACCCGTATTGTCCTAGATTTAGCAATCTAAAAAGCCTGGTGTACAAACTACAGAGGAGGACTAGGCTGTTGCGGTTTACAGAGGGGAAGGGGGGAAGCGAGGGAGGAAGGAAGGGTGGGAGGGAGAGAACAGAAAGGAGGGAAGAGGGGTGGGGGGGGAGGAAGCATTTACCTCGGACTCGAGCGAAAACAGCCCATCCAACAGCAAGGAGGAGGGGGGTGAAGCAGTCACCGCCAGTGTGGCTTGGGCGGTGGCGGAGGGGAGGAGGGGTTGTTGACGGGTGGCGGATGAGGAAGGAGGGGCACAGGGGAGAAGGTGGAGGGAGAAGAGAGGAGGGCGGAGAGGGAAGTCCGGATAGATCGCAACCTGATGGGTGGAAGGGGGGGAGACAGGGTGCGGTGGAGACAGAGCATGAGGGGGAAAGAGAGCATGAGGGGGAAGTATGGGGGAGAGGACAGGAAGTAGTAGGCAGCACGGAGCGGATGCCGATGGAAGCATGAAAACGCACATGAGAGCGGAAGACCGGGCGGATCATGGGTCTGAGACACGGCGGTGAATCGCGGTTTGCATACCAACTGGCAAGCATCACAAAAAGCGAGCACATACCAGCGCCTGCAGGTCAAACGTTGCCCCCTCGCTCTCCTCCTTCCTCCCCTTCCGCCCACCACTTGCACCCGCACCACTCCCACCACCCCTCACAAGCAGCTCATAGACGCATGCTCCAGGCCCCAGAGCAGCCTCCCAGGCGGCAGCAGCAGGGGTGGAGGGATGAATGCCATGCGCCGCCGCCCACGACCAGGGCAAGGACACCCACACCCCGCCCTCTATCCCCTCACTGCTCTCTCCGCCCCCTCCGCCCCCTCCGTCCCCTTCCGCTGCTCTCATTGCTACAGTTGCCACTTTACCCCCGCTCGATCGCCTACTCTCCCCCGCTCCATCCTTCTCCTCCACCAACCGTGCATCCTCGCCTGCCTTGCTACCATCACTCGCTTTCGCATCATTCCCTTTACCATCGCCCTTCTCCTTCCCATCGCCCTTCTCCTTGCCATCCCTGCTGCTCCTCCTCTCTCTACCATTGCCCCTTCCCTCACTCGCCCGCTTCTTCCCACCCCCTTCGTCCCCCTTCCCTCCTGACCCCCCTCCCACCGCACCTAGCTCTAACAGGCCCCCCAACCTCCTCTTCTGTGCCGCTACCAGCGCCCTGGCTAACGCCTCACCGACTGACGCCCCGCCCTCTCCTCCCAAGCGAACAACTGTCAGACCACCCCCTTCTTTGCTTCCCACGCCCTCGTCTCTACCCTTTCCTCCTGCTGTGCTGCGGCTGCGAGACCCATCCTCCCCTGAGCCTTTCTCCCCCTTTCTCTCATCGCCTTTCCTATCACTCTTCTCCTTATCGCCCTCCCTCTCGCTCCTCCCCTCCCCACGCCTCTCCTTCCCCTTCTTCTCCCCTCCCTTCCCACCTGCTAGGTCCCCCTCCTCTGCCTTCCCACCAATCTGGCTGCTACACGTGGCGCCTGGAAATCCCAGCGGGCCAATGAGAAGCCGCCAGCTCAGAATGGAGCATCGCGGAAGATACCCAGAATCTTCTGGCCACGGCCCGGAGAAGTAAGGGGCGGCAGTGGTGCTGTTGGAAGGCGTGATAGTGGGGAGTGTGCTTGAAGCGAGGGAGGAGAGAATCGCGCTGCAGTCACAGGGGAGGGTGGAGGGAAAGCAGAACACGGAAGGCGATACCATGATGGAAATCGTGATTGTGGGAAGTGTGCTTGCAGCAGGCGGAGAAAGAATTGTGGTGCAGTGATCCCCCCCTTACCCCCCCAGCCACTCACATGCCTCTACCCATGAAACCAAAAGGTTTGATCCTGATGCTGTGAGGAATAATCCCGTTGGTCTTTTGCTCAGCCATGAAGATATATTGCTGGTGCAAAGTCCGGTACTTCAAAAAACTCTTCTTAAAGTCCTTAGCGGCTTGATTTTTAAAGTCATTGAGACAAGAGGAAGTCGCCTGCTTGTCAAGAAAATCGTTATGAAGATCACCAAGGAAATCGAAGGAGTCAGTCATGACAGCGTCATGAATCTCGCGAACAGGATCTTGCATCAGCGCAGCCATGATCGCAGGTTCAATCGTAGGCCTGGTGGCAGGCTCAGGAGAGGATCGAACTACAGGAGCGTCAACTGTCACTGGAAGAGGTTCGAGAGGAAAATCCCGAGCTCTCTTCTTGTTGGAGCGAGAAATTGGAGACTCCGGTAAATCTTCGAAATCCACCAGCTCTTTATCCTTGCGAAGATGCCTCGGCTTTGAATCCTCGAGATTCGTGCGGATCGACGGAACTGGTTAGACTTGGTGATATTGGTGGTGGTGTCAGTGTCGGTTGCATTGGTAGCATTGAATTGGTAGTTGACCATCGTAGTAATATCAGGTTTGAGTCCAATTGAACACCAGATAGGTGCCATTGTGTCAATACGTGGCAGCAACTTGTGTGATGACACCTGTGTAAAATATAGAGTGCTTGTAAAAACAAACTCTTGGAATTAAAAATAGGTGGTAACCGGTTTCGGCTTGAAACTTTCTTCGGACCACAGAGTCCTAAAGAAAACAAGCACTACTTATAGGCCAAAAAGATGTCGCCCAAGATTCGCCTCGCGCGTGAGAACCGTCACGGGGAAAATGGGGACGCAAAAAACGAAATAAGCAACAAACAGTAAAACTTTACTGTAGATTAGCACTTATGAGCAGAATCTAAAAAGCTTCCGATTCTCTTCGGCAGCCTCCACGCGATAATAGCTCTCCTTGAAGCGAAAGTGTCGTGTGACAAAGTAACGAGGTGACTTTTGAGTCGACTCAAAAGTCACCTTTTGGTTTCATTTGCAACTCTGTACTTACCCTTCAGGTCTTATCATTCCCGGACTACCACACTTGGCTTCATCCGGAGCGAACTGCACAGATTCCTGCTGCGGTCTTCATCACGAGCTGACTTCTTGCATTCTAGGGCCCTTTTCTTCGCTCGACTAAGAGCCAGAGGGTACCCTCAGAAATTTCTTCTACCAATCTTCAAGTCTGTCTCCTTCGCCTCTCGCAACGAATTTCTCGCTCGCGCCTCTTCAATACGCGACTCTCCTAAACGTGGGCCCCTCGTGTTGAAATGTTTGCTCAACCCTCTGGTTGACCGTTCACACTTGGGGAAACTTTTGAGTCGACTCAAAAGTCACCTCGTTACTTTGTCACACGACACTTGCGCTTCAAGGAGAGCTATTATCGCGTGGAGGCTGCCGAAGAGAATCGGAAGCTTTTTAGTTTCTGCTCATAAGTGCTAATCTACAGTAAAGTTTTACTGTTTGATGCTTATTTCGTTTTTTGCGTCCCCATTTTTCCCCGCGACGGTTCTCCCGCGCGAGGCGAATCTTGGGCGACATCTTTTTGGCCTATAAGTAGTGCTTGTTTTCTTTAGGACTCTGTGGTCTGAAGAAGGTTTCAAGCCGAAACCGGTTACCACCTATTTTTAATTCCGAGAGTTTGTTTTTACAAGCACTCTACATTTTACACAGGTGTCATCACACAAGTTGCTGCCACGTATTGACACAATGGCACCTATCTGGTGTTCAATTGATCCCCCCCTACCCCCCCAGCCACTCACATGCCTCTACCCATCCCCCCCCCTCTACTCACGTGCACCCCCCCCCCCAGCCACTCACATGACTCACTTGAGCTCTCGTGCAGCCATGACTCTCTCCCGCACCACCTGCAGCACTCGGCACGTGACCCGTATGCATCTATACTATACCCCTTGTAGTATGACGCATTAGCAGTCAGATGCCCCCCCAGCCACTCACATGACTCACTTGAGCTCTCTCGCGGCCATGACTCTCTCCCGCACCACCTGCAGCACTCGCCCCAGCCGCCGCTCCTCCCTGAACGCCTCCAGCCGCCCCAGCAGCGCCGCCCGCGTGGCCCCTGGCCCTGCCTCTGCTGCCCCTCCCTCCCTCACTGCTGTCAATGCCGTTGCTGCAGCGGCAGTAACAGCAGCAGCAGCAGCAGGATCAGCAGCAGCTCTTGACGCAGCAGCTGAAGGATCGACCTCCATAGCAGCACCGGCAGACGTGCCCCCATCACCTTTACCACCACCACCACCACCAGCAGCAGCAGCAGGGCCGGAGGGGAGCAGGAAGGAGGGAGGGAGGGGCGGGAGGAAGTCCAAGCCGCACATGAGCTGGGCCCAGAAGTACGGCCGGGAGACGCGAACCGGCAGCGATGCCACGAACCCACACTCCCGCGCCAACGGCTCCTTAGCCATATTCGGAAAGAGCAGGCCTGAGTCTTCAGGAAAGAGGTTGGTGAGGACGGTGTGGAGGGCGAGGGGGGAGGGCGAAGGGGTGGGGTTGGGAGGGGCGGGGAAGAAGGAGAAGGAGGAGGAGGGGGGGAGGAGGGTCGGGGTTTGGGGTTCGACTGGGCCTGCGCAGATGACGCCGAGGTTCCACAGCATCTCGAAGCGAAGGACGAGCAGCGCTGGCTGCTGGGAGTCTTCTTTGTCCTTCGCCTTGCCCTTCTCCCTCTCTTTCGCCTTCTCCTTCTCCTTTTCCTTCTCCTTCTCTTTCGCCTTGTCCTTCTCCTTCTCTTTTTCCTCCTCCTCCGCCCCTCGTTCCCCTCCCTGCCCGGCCGCTTCCCCTTTCCCACTCTCCTCCCGTCCCCTGGGATCAAGCAGCCGAAGCACCACCGACAGCGGGTGGGGCGAGTCAACAGCGCCTATAAGGTCAATTGCGCCAATCAGCGCATTTGGCTGCGCCTGCTTCTTGTCCCCGTCACTGATCACCATAGCACCACCACCACCACCACCACCACTACCGTTTCCATCACCATCACCATCACCACCGCCATTACCACCACCGTCTGCGGCGGCGGCGTCAGCGCCAGCACCATCAGCACCGGCATCTGCACCAGCATTAGCAGCATCATTAACATCAGCAACACCTTCGGTAGCAGCAGCAGCAGCAGCGGCGGCTCCCGCACCGTCGTTCTCAGTATCAGTCTTCCTCCGCCTCCTCCTCAACCCCTCCTCCTCTTCCTCCTCCCTCTCCCCCTCTCCCTCCTCTCTCTCTTCCTCCTCCCCCTCCTCACCCCCTCCCACCCTATCTCCCCCTCTTGCTGCAGCGGCAGCAGCAGCAGCAGCCGCCGCTTCCCTCTCTTCCACCATAGCAGCAAAAGCTTCAGCCTCTCGTACACTCCCCTCAATCTCGACCTCTATCGCTTCTTCTAACGAGTCTCTCCGGGCAGCTAATTGCGAGTATAGAACGTAGAGCGGCGGCGGGAGGAGCGACGCTAAGCGGTGCTGCTTAACCCGCCGCGAGTGGTGCATCCCCATCTGCTGCTGCAGCGGCCCGGACGCCTTCTTCAGGGCTTTCAGCTGCCCGGGAAGGCTGCCCAGAAACTTTTTCCGGCTGCTGATACTCTCCTGGAGCGTCCGCCGGCGGATTTCGAGCATCTCCCGCGCGCGGACCAGCTCCTTGCGCTGGATTGGGAGAAACATATTTAGAGGAGAGAAAATAATGGATGACGCAATGGATGACGCAATGTTAGATGAACATTCCAAGCAACACCCGCGCGCGGACCAGCTCCTTGCGCTGGATTGGGGAGAGAGAATGTAGAGTTTAATGTTTTCAGATCTAACGCACATTTGACGTTATGCATCTGATGCATTAAATGCACGTTATCAACTTACTTGATGCAATATATCTATAGATCTAGTGTACCTGATAGAGCTCGTAGTTGAGTCGCTGCAGCATCAGCCGGTGCGGGTCTTTCTCCAACCCCGGCTCCGATTTAAGGCTCTCCGGTGCTTCCATAAAGAACTCGTGCGCGCTCACTAGCTCAATATCCGGATGCCTTGAAACGAAATCCCTATACGCGGCGATGGCCCTCGCGTGGTGGTTCATCTTATATTGGAGATTATGCAGCCGTAGAGCGGTCGTGTCCACCGGAGCTCGCGCCGCCTCGGTCTCGGCTTTAACGCGCTCCTCGTCGTTTAAGATCTGACGGTTCAGACGGCGCAGATCTAGGAGAACCACCGACGCCTGCGTTGAAAACTCCTGAATGTCGTCGAGAGCGGAAGAAGCGGCTTCTTTGTCTTCGATCTCATCGCTGTCCTGCGCTTTGATCTGTCTCTGCTTTGTTAAGAGGATCTTCGATATAAGCTCCTCGAATTTCGACCGAGCCGAAGCGAGCTCGTCGTAAGTCGTCGACATCGAGGCAAATTATCTATCGTCGCTTGGTGAATGTCTAATCGGCCGTCTGCGAATGTCTCCGTCGCCGGAATGCGAATGTCTGACCGTCGTCCTGCGAATTTCAAACGGCTAGCCTCAATAACTGCGAATAGCAGACAGCACAGACGGCAGCCGCAGTAGAGCGAACGGAAATATCGGACACTCGAGACTAGAGCCGCAAGCGCCGCACGAGGGAGGCAACTAGCTAAGAGGGATGAAAGGAAGGATACACATGGATGAAAAAAGCTCCTTATTCAGAATGAAAACCCCATGGATCCAGGCACACCGGCGGCAATCTCGAAGAAACCTAGGGAATCCCGTTTTTCGCTGATTTACGACAAATTGTGGATGATGAACTTGGTAATGCTCTTCACTACACAACTTCGGATTCCTTGGTATAAGCTAAGCACCTGCTTTCACAAAAAGGCTCTAAAAACACTTAAAGAAGGCTAAATTGTTCAGTTATGCCACTTCAAACCTCAAAAAAAATTGTAAAAAATGTTTCCTTGTACATACTGTGCCTGCTCCGAAAAAACAATATACAGACTCTCTGCGAATGTTGTAGCAGGTATCAAAACTCAGGCCCGGAAGCAAAGATGTCGACAAGACCACGGAAGACCTGAGCAGCAAGTTGAGAGGCGACCACCAACTCCCCATCCACATTCCATGTGCTCTGTTTCCCATGTGATGTGAACGTGAAGGCTGGGGTCTGAGGGAGGTTATGGGAAAAGGGGCGAGGGTCATGATTCGGGAGAAGCAGGACATTAGGACGGGATTGGAGGTGGTGGGAAGGGAAAGCAAGTTGAGAGGTGATCACCAGCTCGCCATCCACATTGCAAGTGCTTTGCTTCCCATGGGATGTGAACGTGAAGGCTGGGGTCTGAGTGGAGTTATGGAAAAGGGAGCGGGACGGGAGTCCAGACTCCAGAGGCAGGAGAGGCAGGATTGAAAGTGGTTGGAAGGGGACGCAAGTTGAGAGGCAACCACCAACTCCCCATCCACATTCCAAGTGCTCTGCTTCCCATGGGAGGTGAATGTGAAGGCTGGGGTCTGGGGGTGGTTATAGAAAAAGGGGCGGGAGTCAGGAGGCAGGAGAGGCTGGGGTCTGAGGGTGGTTATGGGAAATAAGCGAGAGACAAGATTCAGGAGAAGCAGGAGAGTCGGGTTTAGGACGGGATTAGAGGTGGTGGGAAGGGAAAGCAAAGTTGAGACGCGACCACCAACTCTCCATCCACATTCCAAACGCTTTCCTTCCCATGAGAGGTGAGCGTGAAAGCTGGAGTTGGAGGGAGGTTACCGAAGAGGGGAAGGGATTCACGGGGCAGGAGAGGCAGGATTGGGTGTGGTGGGACGGGAAAAATAAGTGTGGCAAAATATGTGAATGAAATGGATGGAAATGAAGATTAGCAGATTGTTTCTTACTAACGAGATTGAGAACTGTAGTACCTTGTAGGTCTCGACAAAGTCGAAGGCAAACGGATCTGCCCCTTTGCGTGCGAGCCGGGTCAGCTGACTGCCACGGGGGTCAGAAGAAAGAAAGATCCAAACCGGACGAGGTGCCAAAAACAGACGAAATGAACAAGCAGCAAAGAAGCGCAACATAAGATGTGTAATTTTTGGAATTTTCCAGAAAAGCATCACTGATCTGATGTAGGCTGAAGTCCATCACTCTGCAAAAACTCACTGCAGGTATTCGGGGCGAGAGCACTTGCGGATGAGGATGAGGTGCAGATTGCCGTCCGCCAGGTGGGCCTGTGCTGCGACGCCATCTGGCGCCTTGTCATTGCGACACGACATCACCGCCGCCCCCACGCTGTGGAACTTTCCATGCACCGTCCTCCAACACGGCTTCAAACCCCCTCTGAGACCAACTCCCGGCCCCTGGCCAACCCCCCGCGATAAGTTTTCCTGCCCGACCACAAGCACTGGCGCTGACGTGGCAGCATCGGATTGGTCAAGAGCGGCGTGGGTCTGCCCGAGGGCAGAGCGATCATCAAGAGAGGATAAGTTGTGGGAGGAGCGGGCGAGCTGCGAGAGGTCAGTGCTGCTGGCGCAGACGGTGCACCCGGCAGTGCACACGTCAGGGAAGCTGCTTCGCCTGCTGCTGCTGCTGCTTCTCCTGCTGCTGCTGGTACTGAACGAAGGAATAACACACAAGAAGAAATAATATGTTTGGACTGAACGCTGATGCCAATATTTGCTCCACTCGCTTTCTCACTCAATCACGCCTTTCTCGTGGATTCCCAGAGTCGTGTCACCCACTCACTCACTCACTGTCATTTACACTCACACTCACTCATGTATCATTTGATCTCTTCCACTCACCGTGTTTTGGCCAGCATGGGGCTGTTGAAGGTGCGCCGCCGCATCCCTCCGTTCCATGCCACAGCTCGCAACAGCACCTCTCGACTCCTTGCACCCAGTCCTTCCTCCCCCATCCTGCTCGCTCACTCACACATCACCACCTCATTCTCTCTCACCGTGTCTTGCCAAGCATGGGGCTGCTGATGGTGCGCCGCCGCATCCCTCCGTTCCACTCCGTCGCCTCAAGAGAAGCCCCCTCCTCCTCTTTCCCCCCATCCCCTCCCCCTTCCTCCCCACCCCCCTCCTCTACCCTCTCCCTATCCCCCTCCTCTCCCACCTCCTCTCCCACCTCTCCTTCCTCTCCCCCTTCCACCCGACCCCCCTCCTGCCCTTCCTCCTCCCCGTCCTCCCCAAGCGGGCGTGGCCGGGGAAGCTCTTCTGTGAGGCTCCTCACTAGGACCCTGCTTGCCGCCCCCTCAATGGGTGACGATGCCAGGGCTAGAGATGCAAGAAGCGGGGATGCTTCAAGTGGGGATGCTTCAAACGGGGATGCTTCAAGAGGGGATGGCTGCAGGGGGGATGCTTCGGCGCAGGGCGCTTGTGGTGGTGGTGGCGACGCCTTGGGTTTCGGCACGTGGTGCAAAGTCTCTGAGCTGCTGACTGCAGGCTGGCTGGGAGCCCTTGCTGTTTGCACGGCAGCAGTTGACGGCACGTCGAAAAAGGACACCTCAGCATTGTACGATCTGAAGGAAGACGGAGGGAAGGAGAAGTTAGGTCTCGTACTTTCTGACTCACCCACCTCATTCCACCTAGATCCAGTGTAGCAAACCACGTTCCACCACATTCCACCGCATTGCACTATCAGATATCTCAGCACCTGCCTGTGCTGCGGATCCAGCATGGAGGTACCTCGCTCGATGGTCCACCCATCTGCGTTCACCTCAGTCTAAACCACTCTTCACCACACTGCACGCAGCCAAACCACGCATGCATGTGAACCGCGCTTCACCGCACTGCACCTACGAACAGGGCACTCACCTGTGGAGCAGGTACGGCATGAGCCTGGCACAGTCGTATCTCGCCGGCCCCATCCATTTGAGTTCAGCTCAACGCACTGAATGTACCGCTCTGCACCTACCAGCAGCGCAGTCACCTGTGGTGCAGGTATGTCATGAGCCCAGCATAGTCATACCTCGCAGGCCCCATCCATCTGAACTCACCTCAAGGTGCTGAATGAACAGCACTCCACCGCACTGCACCTATCAGCAGTGCACTCACCTGTGGTGCAGGTATGTCATGAGCCCAGCATAGTCGTATCTTGCCGGCCCCATCCATCTGAGCGACTCGCTGCGCCGAATCACATCGCCATAGAAGCCATAGCTGCATCGGGGGACAGGAAATAGGTAACATGGGAATGAGCCGATGTGGAGAAGAGGGTAGAGAGGGTAAACGCATTTGATCCATGGGCTTGTAAACAGAGAAGGAGCGGAGTGAGGGGTTGGAGGGTCAGAAGCACAGGCAAGCCGCAGCAGGGGCAAGATAACGAGGAGGAAAGGGGCACTTTCAAGAGACTTCACACACTCACCCAAAGAAGGATGCCGCGTAGCGAACCTCCACCCCCCCCTGCTCCCTCGCCCCTGTGCCCGCTGCTGCTTCCACACTAGCCCCTGCTACCCCTGCCACAGCTCCTTCCCTCCCTCGGTCAGCCGCGTCTCCTTGATGCCCGTCCCGCCTTTCTCCATCGCCCTCACCTCCCCGTCCTTTCCCCACATGCTCTCCTCCCTGCCCTCCTCCCTGACCTCCTCCCTGCCCTCCCTCCAGCTCTTGCCCCTGTCCCTCTGCCTGCCTCTGCTGCTTCTCTGGCGGCACCCCTTCGCCTTGAATCCCCTTCGACTGCTCCCCTTGCTCCTGAGCCCCCGTCATATCCTCGCCGTCCGTCCAGGTGGTGATCCTGGCAACGTCCAGTGGCATGCGGTGGCCCAGCACTACGTGCAGAGCTGCGGTGGTGGGGTCGCGAGAGCCAGTCACGCTGGGGAGGGTGGGGAGAGCAATGGGGGTAGTGGGGATTGTGGGGACGGTGGGATAGAGAGCAAGTGGGCAACGTCTAGGGGCATGCGGTGGGCCAGCACTACGTGCAGAGCTGTGGTGGTGGGGTCGCTAGCGCCTGTCACGCTGGGGAGGGTGGGGACATGGGAACACGATCAGCGACATGCGGTGGTCAGGAACCACTGGTTGGGTCACAAGAGCCTGTCGAGAAGGGGAGGGTGGGGATTGGGGGGATGGGGGAGAAGATGGGATCGGGGGAAGGGGGGGGGGGGGGTGGAAAGCGTTTCAGCAGCATGCGGTACCCCAGCACCAAAAAATATGCCGTAGCATACCTCATAATGATGCAGTCCGTGGATCCAGCAGGGATGACACTAGTGCATGTGTGCATCTTGTACCATATAAGCGGCCAGAAGAATGCATAGCATACCTCATGATGATGCAGTCCGTCGACCCAGCAGGGATGATGCCAATGCGCAGAGCATGTGGCAGATGCAGCCCCACGTTCACACACGCAGATGCCTCCACCTGCGTCAGTGCTTCGCCCACATTTGCACCCCCGCTTGCTCCTCTACCCCGCGCCCCTTCATTGCTCTCCTCTGGGCCCTCCCGTGACCCCAGGCTTGTGAACAGACTACCAGCTGCATCAGCAGCCTCAGCAGAATCAGCATCCAAAGCAGGAGAAGCAGCAGCATCACCAGTAGCAGCCCCAACACCTCCAGCAACCCCAGCAGGCACATCCTTCCCCTTGCACTCTACTCCTGCTTTCTCTTTTGACCCTCCCCATAACGCCCTCCTGATCCTACCGCCACTGCTGGTGTGCTGATCCTTCCCCTCTGCTCCCCCCGCTCCTGCTTTTTGTGCTGCAGGTGGTGCCGACGCTGGTACGGGCTGCGATGCCTCCGAGGCAGTTGGGAGTGGAGAGTGGTGCGAGGAGGTGAAGGAGAGGCGCAAGGGGCGAGGCAGCAGGTGGAAAGGCGAGGGAGAGGAGGTGAGGGAGTGAGACGAGGACAGCGGAGTGCATTTCGAGACAGCGGAGGGAGAGGACGAGGGGGACGGAAGGGAGGAGGACACTGGGAAAGGGGAGGCAGCGGACGATAATGGGGGTGTATGGGCTGAGGAGGAGGAGGGGGGGAGGCAGAGGCGTGAGGTGGAGACGCGAGAGGGGTGGATGCATGGGGGGGCGTGGTGTCGCCGCTTTGCCAGTCCGTTGAGCACCTCGTTAAACAGACCGTCCCCTCCCTGTTGGAGCAGAAGAAGGGGGGGGGCAGGAGGAGAGCCGTGAGCTGGGGATGCGAGAGGAGGGGTGGATGCATGGGGGAGCGTGGAGCCTCCCCTTGGCCAGTCCGTCGAGCACCTCGTCGAAGAGATCGTCGAAGAGGGGGGGGCAGGAGAGCCGTGAGCTGGGGATGCGAGAGGGGTGGATGAAAGGGGGGGCGTGGTGCCTCCTCTTGGCCAGTCCATTGAGCACCTCGTTGAACAGACTGTCCCCTCTGCGTTGAATGGCAGCAGAGGGAAGGGGGAGGAAGAGGGGATGGAAAGACACATGGGAGTGTCGTTAGCCATGATTGAGAAGAGCAGCAAAAGACACATGGGAGTGCATGGAGTAGCAACGGAGAGCGTGGCCAGGTCCCTTGGAAGTGAGCCAGGTCTCCGTGAAAAGCTCATTGAGGAGAAGGTCCCTTCCATGGCCAAGATGGATGGGAAGGTGGGGAGCCAGGAGCTGCAGACTTAGCCATGCATAAATACATGGGGGGTAGTGGCACGGGGGGGTAGTGGCACGAGGGGTAGTGGCACGAGGGGTAGTGCCACAGGGGGTAGTGGCACGGGGGGGTAGTGGCACGGGGGTAGTGGCACGGGGGGTAGTGGCACGGGGGTAGTGGCACGGGGGGTAGTGGCATGGGAGGGTAGTGGCAGGCACGGGGGGTAGTGGCACCAAGGGTAGTGGCATGAGGAGGGTAGTGGCAGGGGGGGCAGTGGCACGGGGGGTAGTGGCAGGGTTGGCTACTGGCATGGGGGCTAGGGGCACGGGGGGCTAGTGGCATGGACGTGCGTGCATATGGGAGCATGGGTGCCTCTGCTTGATCAGTCATTGAGCAACCTATGCATTAAGATACTACGTGCAAGGGTCCTCAGGTGATATCTTCAATGATTTCCAAACACAGAGTTATCAATCCATGCAACCACTTCCCTCCCTCAATCTCTTCTTCCTCCCCTCTCTCCCTCCCATCCCAGCCATACACTCACTCACCACGACGAGAATGCCATCGACGGCTGAGATCTCTTCATCTGTCGCCCCATGCACGGCATCAAAGGCGTGGTTCTGCCGCTGCGTTACCACCTCGGTAACCGCCACTCCGGCCCGCTCAAACACCGGCTTCACCGCCGCCCATGTCTTGAGCGCCTTGCGGTGGCCGCCTATGGGGTTGATGAACGCCTGTGGTGATTCGGGGGGATAAGCGAGAAAACAGATCTATTGTCTTGAGCGCCTTGCGGTGCTTGCCTACAGGGTTGGATGGCCATGGGGGATTGGGGAAGAGGGGCGATAGAAAGAAACCGGGAGATTAACATTGAGCCAGAGTAGGCTAAGTCGAGAAAAGACACGCACCACAGTTAGCTCACCACAACTAGTCAACACATAAGCGCCCATTTTCACCGCACCTGCAACATTTCACCAAACCAGCACCCATGTTCACAGCACCATCACCCAGTGTCACCGCATCAGCACCCATCTTCACCGCACCAGCAGGTTCCGGGGCCGCTCTGGGTCTGCACTGAGCAGGGATTGGATGGAATCCACCCACTGCTGACACACGCTGACGTCCGCATGACTCAGCACGAGCTGCACTGGCGTCCACCTGTCTGCCGCCTTCCGGAAGGTATGGATGGCCAGGCGATGAAGCTGCGAAACACAGGGATGGGACGAAGGGAGACAAAGGTAGAGGTGGGTTATGCAGGGGGGACAGGGCAGGGGTGGGCCTATTAGGTATGGATGGCCAGGCGATGAAGCTGCACGTTTGAGAGCCACAGGGAAATGAAGGTTAGGGGGGAGGTGGGGGAGGGAGAGGGGGAGAAATGAGGAATGATGAGGAATGCACTGGCTGGCGTCCACCTGTCTGCCGCCTTTCAGAAGGTATGGATGGCCAGGCGATGATGCTGCCACATTCATAGGCGGGTCACGGAGGGGAAAGAAGGCAGAGGTGCAGGAGGGGGGGTTTGTTTGTATGGATGGCCAGGCGATGCAATGAAGCTGCAGATTCGCGGGAAACAGGGAAACAGAGGTGGAAGGGAATCCAGGGAAAGTAACTTGAACCCCGTGGGGGAAGGGGGGGGGGTGTGGTGGGGAGGTTTGGCCTGTACTTTTTCTGGTAGAAAAGTCCTTCGTGGGACCACGCAGGCGCGAATCTGTAACTCACTCTGGCTGCTGGTCCTAGAAGACTCCCTTTGACCACCGCCTCTTCCAGCCTCTCGACTGCATAAATCTCGGCCACTGCAACACGTCTCGCCTTTCCAGACGCCTCCCTCTGCGGGCTTCCCGCATTGCCTTGCACGGCCTGGTGCAAGAAGAGAGACAACAGAAGACACGGAAGACAGACAACGAAAGGCATGGTGTAAAAGGAGTACGTACGAGATGGCGATAGCAAGCTGAGGAATTTATGGAGAGTGACGCAGCAGGTAATGTCGCGTACAGCTGGGTGCGGTCCTTCGTGGTCAACGCTTGGCTCGAGAGCACGAGCGTTAGAAGGCGACCAGCAGACGATAGTGAAGCGCACGTAACGCATCCTCTCACTGAACTTCACCTGAGGGATCATTGTAAGGCGCCGGCCAACGGCTCTTAGAAAGTAGTGCCTATAGTGAACCGCGTCGCATTTCCAGCAACTAGCTTTAGCTGGTACTTTGTTTGATAACGGTTTGCTATGAATTCACGCGATCGCCATCGCGTACTTATATTCCTGACTGGTACCTTGCCAAACGAAGGCTTCACACGAGGTTACTCTTATACTGACGCCTGACATCCTGGCTGGTACCTTGTCAGAAGATCGCTTAGTACGAGGTTACTATGTAACTGACGCCTGAGGTTCTAGCTGGTACCTTGTCCGACGACGGCTTGGTCCGGCGCCAGACGACGGCGTTCTCGAGGAGCACGACGCGAAAGTCGCCGGAATTCGGGATCAGGAAGTCGTCTTCGAGCAGCTTGCGACGGCTGCTACCACGACTCTCCGCACCGCTTCTCGGAGGCTCTTCGCTGCTTTCCATGCGTCGCTGGCTCACAAACTAAGGTCGGGTACGCTGAATGCAACGCTAGTACACACCACTAGGACAGCCTACACACGCTGCACCACTAGCTTGACTGACTGACTGACTAAGCAGCTGGAAATTCTAGAGGATGACCAGCTCTCCCAGCCGGCGACGTCAGGACATGGCTGCTGATGCGATCCACCAAGAAGAATCTCTGGTCCGAAGCAGAGCAGGACGGAATGCTTCTGGCAAATAAGCAAATCCCAAGAGGGGGAATGGCAAATCCTCACAGCACGACATTCCCAAGGGCGAACACAAATCTCCCTGCTGGGGAACGGATTGACTCTCCCCACGCTGCGGAACTGGCGGAGAGGGCGGACCAGGCAGAGCGGCGATGGGGCTGATGCGGGGGAGAGGCGGAACGCCGATTGGTTGGGCTGCGGGAAATGCAAGATCGCGGAAGAGACTCTGGGTCATGGAAGGAGGACAGTTCGGTTGGTTGCGGTGGAGGCTAGTGGTGCTTTCGCTTGTGCAAGGGCGGAATACGGGTAACTCTTGCTTGCGACGACCTTCGCATGAGTTTGCCAATAAACTGCATCGCATGGCTGACAAGACGTGACTTTGTTGGAGGAAGGGGCAGGGCTGAGTTTTGTTCGATCAAAATTTAGTGCCTCACAATATTGATACGGAAATTGTGAACAAGGTCTAGCATTTCACCATCAGTCACAAACGCGGATACATCGACTCCTCCTGACATGGAATCATTCGCATGCGCAGAAACGCTCCGCTGAAGGGGCATGTCAGAAGAGATGGCGCAAAGCCGCGAGAAGTACAAACTTGGTGTCGTGGCGCAAAACCAGACCTCCACCACCTGGTGATTTTGCGCCCCAGCGCCTGCCGAACCTCCGCCGCCAGGAACTTGGCTTTGTGTGTGCGAAACGCAGCGGAGTAGCGAGCCCTAGCGAACAACTGTCGCAAACATCGCCAGTGAATCTGGAAAGTATGTCTAGAACTAACCATTCAAGGCCGCTCCGAACCGATTTCAAACCTGTTTTGTTCCACCAGCAGCCACCCTTTCTTCCCCAACGTTCCCCAGCACTCTCCCGCCAGAATCTTCCGAGCCTCCACCATAGCCTCTCCCTCCCCTACCAGACCTCTGCCGCCAGCCTCCGCTGCCGAGTTCGGCTTGCGCTGGAAACGTTTCGCCAAAAGCGTCCCTCCTAAATCAGAGTCGCAAGACGGGACTCCTCCCAACCCAACCGAATCCCACCAAAACTTCGCCCCGCAGCCTCCTGCTTGGGTTTGGCGCAGGAGTGCTTGGGTTCGCTTGGTGCTTGCTCTCAACCAGGCCTGGTCCACATTCCAATTTCTCAGTCTGCTTCGCCTCTGATTCCTCTGCACCTCTCAAACAGTTCCATAAGTTTCTACCGCCGCCGCTGCTGCTGCTGCTGCTATGTCCGCTGCTTAGCTCGCTGTCGCCAGCGGCACAACGCAGCACATCACGCCACCGGCTCTCTGTTCGACGAGAACCTATTGAAGTGCCCGGGAAGCGGTGGCTGTCCGCCGGAGTGCGAAACATGGCGTGCGCCGTGCGGCAACGTGTTACCGCGTGTCGCGGCGGTCACGGCAGTGGTATCAACGCCCGAATATCGTTGCGCGACGAACTTCCGAGGTAACTGCAATCGCTTTGCATCCAACGGTTTTCGTTGTGCTCCGCTTTTTTTGTTGCTCCTGCGGTAACACGTCGCCAACTACCGCGTCGTTTCATTCCGCTGCCGATGTGCAGGTTCGCGTCAAGACCGCGGCGAATTTGACGACCCGTGCGAGCTGCTGCGACTGCGGAGTAAGGCGTCTGCAGCGACCCGCGCGACCGCGGCGACCGCGGCGACTGCTGCGAGTCCGTGGACGGACCTTGGAATAGCGCTCACACATCACTCCGACGGTGCGCGCGACCAGCGAGAGAGATCCGCATGGGGGACGGCGAATAAAGGTAACTTGAATTTCACGACCCGTTTCTTTCCGCGTACTTCGCTGCTCCGTCTTATGTTTTATTTCACTGTCTCCCTCGACCAATACTGGGTTGCATAAAATACTTCGTCTAACTAATGCGTCGTTTCATCTCGCTGGCGATTCGCAGGCTCACGACATGACTCCAGGAAGCGACCAGGGAGAGAGATCCGCATGGGGGACTGCGAATATGACTCCAGGGCGTCCGAGAACGGACGGATCTCGAACGGACTAGCATGTGCGCGTCAATCCGGCGGTGCGCGCGCGTCAATTCGACAGTGCGCGCGAGCAGCCGGAGCTCCGCCCGAGTCGACTAGACACCTATCTCCTGCGGCTGCCGCCGTTGCCCGCGGTGACTGGTACGTGCGAGGGGCTGCGCTATGGGGGGGCGAGTAGGACCGCCTATAGAGCGTCTCGAGTCTTGCTCTTTCTGCTCGAGTCTTTATCCTTTCCGCCTGATCCTAACGCAAGCTTTTCTGTTTGTGCTTGTGCCTGAGTGCGCCCGTATGTTTCTGTCCGCATGCTATGTGGAGGCGTGGAGGCGTGGAGGCAGCAGCGCTTTAAGTTGAGAGCCTGCGGAGCAAGTGTGGCGGCATGTTGCGCCGAGCGTGGACTGGCGCTGCAACGAGCGTGGCGGAATGGGCGCGGAATGGGGGCGTGGAGGGGGGGCGCTGGGACCGGACAGGACTGGAGAGCGGGGTCGGCTGGCATCCCGGTGCCCTTGGCTACTGGTACGTGCGAGGGGCTGCGCGGTGGGGGGGCGCGTAGGACCGCCTATAGAGCGTCTCGAGTCTTGCTCCCTCTGCTTGAGTCCTCGCCCCTTGCGCCTGGTCCTAACACGATTCTCTCTCTTCTTTCCGTGTGCCTGTGGCTGTGTGTGAGACTGCCTCTGCCGGCGGCAACACGGAGTGGAGGAGGGAGGGAGGGCGAACGGGTGGGCTACACGCCTTTGAGAGGAGGGAGGTGGCGCGCTGGAGTGCTGGAGTGGTGGAGTGATACAAGCATCACCAGCAGCACCAGCAGCACCAGCAGCAGAGGAGGTAAGTATTCGGAAGGAGTCGTCGGGGGGGCGCATAGGACCGCCTATAGAGCGTCTCGAGTCCTGCTCTTTCTGCTCGCGTCCTCTCCCTTTCCGCCTGATCCTAACGACATCTTGCTCGTCTTGTGCTTGTGGCCCTCTGTGTGCGCCTGTGTCTGTCGCTGGCGGTATGCTGCATGTGTGGCCGGCACGCCCTGGAGGGGAGGGAGGAAGCGCGGTGGAGTGATGGAGTGATGGCGGGGGTACCAGCAGTGGTGGCGGGGGTACCAGTAGTGGTGGCAGCCCTTGCTTGTTGTAGCAGCTGTGGCGGTGGTGGCGGCCAGCAGCAGCAGCAGAGGAGGTAAGTGGTCGGGACGAGCCGTAGGGGGGGCGCGTAGGACCGCCTATAAAGCGTCTCGAGTCTTGCTCCATCTGCTTGAGTCCTCGCGCCTTTCGCCTGATCCTAACACTTTTTCCTTTTCCGTGTTGGCGTGCTTGTGGCTCGATGTGCGTCTGGTTCTGCTGGTGGCACGGCGTGGCCCACACGCCCTGGAGAGGAGGGAGGAAGGGCAGTGGAGTGATGGTGGGGAGAGAGATGGACGCGACAGCAGTGGGGAGGAGGGCGGAGGGCGAGCGCAGCACTGGTGGAGGGGAGGTAAGTGGTTGGGGCGAGCTGTAGGGGGGGCGTGTAGAGCGTCTCGAGTCAGTTTCGAGTCAGTTTCTCTGCTCGAGTCCTCGCCTTGATTCCACCGGATGCTAACCCCGTGTCTGTGGCGCTGTGTGTGATGGTGTGTGTGATTGGTGTGTGTGGTGCTTGTGGTACCCCTACAGCCTATACTACTCAACCCCTTGCAGGTACCCCTACAGCCTATACTACTCAACCCCTTGCAGGTACCCCTATAGCCTATACTACTCAACCCCTTGTAGGTACCCCTACAGCCTATAGAACACAGAACACTGAACCCAGAACCCAGAATTCAAAATACAGAACCCAGAACCCAGAACTAGAACACAGAACCAGAACACAAAACCCAGAATCCAAAACACAGAACCCAACTCAGAATACAGAACCCAGAACACAAAACACAGAACACAGAACCCAGAACCCTGAACCAGAACACAGAACTCGAAGACAGAACCAAACCACAACACAAAACCCAGAACACAAAACCCAGAACACAAAACCCAGAACACAAAACCCAGAACACAAAACCAGAACACAACACACAAAACCCAACCCAGAGCACAGAACCAGAACACAAAACACAGAACCAGAATACAAAACCCAGAACCCAGAACACAGAACCAAACCCAGAACACATAACCCAGAACACAGAACACAGAACCCAGAACCCAGAACACAGAAACCAACCCAGGACACAAAACCCAACCCAGAACACAGAACACAAAACCCAGAACACATAACCAAAACACAGAACCCTGAACCAGAACACAAAACCCAGAACCCAGAACCCAGAACACAGAACCCAGAACCCAACCCGTAACACAGAACCAGAACACAAAACACATAACCCAGAACACAGAACAGAGAACCTAGAACACATAACATAGAACCGGAAACCCAGAACCCAAAAAACAGAATCCAGAACACAGAACCCAAAACCCAAATAACAGAACCCAGAGCTCAGAACACAGAACACAGAACCTAGAACCCCAGAAACCAGAACACAGAACACCAAAACATAGAACCCAACCTAAACACAAAACTCAGAACTCAGAACTCAGAACACAGAACACAGAACATTGAACACATAACCCAAACGCAGAACCCAGAACCATGCCATGCCATCCATACTACACCAATACAACGCCTCTGGCTGCAGCGCAGTGCACAGGCCACAGACCAGGCATCCCTGGTAGACAGCCCCCTGGTAATCCCCCCCTGGTACCGCCCTGCCTCACACCATGCATGCCACACCACACTTTCCATCACTCGCCTTGCCATGCCGTGCACTTCAACCCATGCCATGCCATCCATACCACACCCCTTAAACAGCGCGTCTGGTTGCAGCGCAGTGCACAGGCCACAGACCAGGCATCCCAGGTAAACACTCCCCTGGTAATCCTCCCCCTAAACCCTTAGAGCCTTTACTAGTCGCCCCGGTATCCCCTCCCCCATACCCTGGTCTGTGGCATGTGCTGCTGCTGCAGCAAAGGTCTTCTCTCCCGCCCGCCCTGTAAGTTGTGCGTTTTTTTATTCGCACTAATCACCACTTATCATTCCCACCCATCACCACCCATCACCACTCACTACCATCTGCCACCCGGAGTGCCCCTCCTTGTGACTAACCGTCTCTCTGCTCTCCCCATCCCCCCATCCTGCCGCACTGTGTCAACGCCAATGCTCCGCCGCGCCCCTCCCCGGGCTGTGCACTCGTGTGGGAGCACGAGAGCACAGCAGCGGGCAGCAAAGGGGGAGTATGGGGTGGTGAGTCCAGCAGAGAAGGTGAGGAGCCTTGTGACAGCCTTCAATGCGCGCTGCTCACTCATCTGCTCCTGCGCGTTCACGTTCTTGCATCCCCCCCTGCACCCACTCTTCTCCTCCCCTCCCCTCCCTTGCCCCCCTTCCTTCCCCTCCCTCACAGCTTGCTCGGTGTCCCTTTGGAGCAGCGACAGCCGCAGCGGCAGTGGGAGGAGAGGCGAGGGTGCAGCAAGGGTAAGGCAGGGCGGCAGCAGAGCAGCAGCTCACTCGGCGCCACTCTTCAAACACAAGCTAAGTATCCCGTCCCTCCCTGGTACCCGTCTCAACCCATGCATGCCACACCCCTCTCCGCATTCCTCAACATCCCATGCACCCTCACCCCATTTATATGCATGGAAAAACAGCGCCTCTGGTTGCAGTCCAGTGCTCGGGCCACAGACCAGGCTTCCAGGTACACATCCCCCCGCCCTCTCCCCCCCCCAGGTTATCCCCCCCTCAGAAGCCAGTAGAGCCATTACTAGCTACCCTCAAACCCCCCCCTTGCATACCCCTGGTCTGTGGCCTGTGCTGCTGCTGCTGCAGCAGAGGTCTTCTCGTCGGCTCTGTAAGTCCTTTGGTTGCCGCACTGCCTATGCACGCTCTTTGGTTTCTGGCTCTCGTCATTCTCGCATCCTGCCTTGCTGCCAGTGCTCATGTCGCCTCCTTTCGGTTCCAATTCTCCCCGCTGTCCCTCCCTTAACACCTCACGTGGTGGCACTTGGAAGCAGCACCAGCAGCAGCAGTAGAGGCAGCAGCAGCCGCAGGTGATGGAGCATCAGGGGCATGGGGAAAAATGGGGGACTAGCAGAGCAGCTCACTCCGCAGCACTCACATGGAAAGCTAAGTATTCGTTCTTATCTACCTGCCTTGACCCATGCACGCCTCTCCACACTATGTCACACCATGCCATGCCACATGCCATGTCACACCATGCCATGCCATCCCCCCTCCACGCACCCCATGCTCCATCCGACTCCATACGCATCAGACAGCGCCCAGTGCTCAGGCCACAGACCAGGGATCCCAGGTAAGCCCCCCCCAGGTAATGCCCCCCCTAATTCCCTAAGAGCCATTATGAGAAACCCTCTACCCCCCCCCCCCCTCCCCCCTCTCCCTTCCATACCCCTGGTCTGTGGCCTGTGCGCGCTGCTGCTGCAGCAGAGGTCTTGTCATCCGCACTGTGAGTTCGCTGGCTTCCCTCACCGCCCTCACGCATCACCACCTGCACCCACCCACATCCACCCATCAGCACCCCCCAGCATGCAGCACCAGTCCAGCCTCTAACCTTCCCGCTGCCGTTCCCACCTCCCCTTCATCCACCCTCCCTCAGGGCCTTGCATGCGGCTGCTTCCCTCTGGAAACTGAGGCTGGGGGGGGGGGAGAGGCGGAGGGGAGGAGGGGAGGGGTGGGGGGAGCAGCACCAACGGCGGCAGCAACACCTTGAGCATTCTTTCAGCTGGGTGCCCGTTTTCCCAGACTTACACCAGCTGAACGGGGGTGTAAGTCTGGGAAACTGGTTGGTGTAAGTTTGTATTCCCTCACTCACCCACCCCCCCTTCGCCTCCCCTCCCTCCCCCACAACCCGTTTGCTCAACGGGCACCCAGCTGAAAGAATGCTCAAGGTGTTGCTGCCGCCGTTTTTGAGCATTCTAAGTCTCAGCTGAAAGAATGCCACCTTGTATTAACCCCCCCTTCGCCTCCCCTCCCTCCCCCACAACCCCCCCCCCCCGCTTCTCCCCATCTCTTGAAATCGACCACTGGTGCAGCAGCCTCTGATTCACAAGATCCGCTACTACACTTCAGGTACAGCCCTCCAGTAAGGCTTTTCTTAAAGACCTAGAGATATTACTAGCTCACCCCTTGCAGGTATTCCCCTTGGGTGTGTGGGTGGTGGGCAGCTGCACCCGTGGTCCTCCCGCTCTTTCTTCCCTACTTGCCTGCATCGTGCCTTTCTCGCCTTGGCTAGTGACTGCGCACTGACTGTGGGTGTGTGTGGCTGTTGCAGGTGGGGGGGGGGGCGTGGGAGTCAACACCGACGCTCCCCCGCGCCCCTCCCCTTGTGGCGGTGCAGGGGCGGGGGAGCAAGGGAAGGGAGCACTGCAGCGGGCAGCAAAGGGAGAGCATGGGGTGGTGGGTCCAGCGCACAAGGTGAGCCCCACTCGCACCCAATCCCCCCAATCCCGCCCCTTGCTCCTTTTCTCATCACTGCTTTCTGTTGTGTTACTGCTTGTTTGCACTTCTTCCCTTGTAAATGCTGGATTGTTCCTTTCAGTTTTGTCTCGTGCCATTCGTCCATCCTGCTCTTCACTCACTGCTCTCCTCCCCGCACCTTTCCCTCCCTAGCAGCTCATGTGGTGGCACTTGGAAGCAGCAGCTGCAGCAGCAGCAGAAGCAGACACAACAGAAGCAGACGCAGCATCAGAAGCAGCAGTAGGGGGGGCTAGGTAACTGGAGGGCAGGCTAGGCTGGAGTGAGTCGTGACAGAGGTACAAGGTACGGTATGGCACGGCATGGTATGGCATGGCATGGCATGACATGTGGTTAGTCAGGTCATGCTTCACATCTCTCTCTCCATCTCCTCCCTCCGCCAGGTGTGCTTCTGCACTCATGGGCGTGGCTGCTCACAGCACAGCACAGCAGGACAGGACGTGTCCCCCCCCCTCACCACCCTTCTCCCTCCTTCTCCTCCCCCCACCAGGTGTGCGCTCCATTGGCGGGGAGGCAAAGGCATGGCTGCTCACAGCAGGAGAGGAGTCCCCCGCCTCACCACCCCCTCTCCCTCTCCTCCCCTCCCAGCGCCAGGTGTGCTCCTGCGAGCCACATGCATGGGCACTCACAGCACAAGGAGAGGAGTCCCCCCACTCAACCCCCCCACCCACCCCCCCCCCCCTTCCCCTCACTTCCCTGCTGCGTCAACCCTTGTGGTGCTCTGCATGGCTGGTAGGTGGAGGTAAGGAGGTGTGGTGGTGGAGGAGGGAGGTGGGATGGGAGAGGGGTAAGGCATGGGAGCATGTGTGCAGCTCAGTCCCTTAGGGGCAGCACCCGCTGTGGTTCTGGCTTGTGGCTCGGGTGTGGTCAGTGGAAAGAGTGTGGCACGGCAGTCGTTCCTCAAGTAACAATTCTGGCGTATCGTATAATGGAACCGGCCAGAGCCGTGCGCGCTGGCTCTGGTTGGGAGTCCCCTCCTACGACGCTTTCGTACGCGGGATTTGAGTCTTGGGCCGCCCGTGCACTTCCCACTGCCACACTTTGACCACAAGGCAGTGCTATGGGGGGTGTTGTTTTCGAAGGGGAGTGGGTTGCATGCTGCTCCTAGTGCTGGGAAAGGGTGTGGGGGGGTGGGAGGTGGGGAGGGGGATGGTGGGGGGGTTAGGAAGGGGGCCTGAAACTCTCTTGGTGAGTTGATTGATGGGCAAAGGAGGGCGTCTCCAAACAGTCATCACTGTAAGTTGAGTGAGAGGGAGAGGAGGGGCGAAGGAGGACGTCTGCTATTGCCACTGTAAGTTGAGTGAGAGGGAGAGGCGAACAGGGGCGTGAAACCTCTTTGGTGAGTCAAACGATAGCAAAGGAGGGCGTCTCAACCACCTCTGTAAGTTGAGTGAGAGGGAGAGGCGAACAAGGGCGTGAAGCCCCTTGGATGGGTCAATCATCAGTAGAGGAGGGCGTCTCAACCACCTCTGTAAGTTGAGTGAGATGGAGAGGCGAACAAGAGCGTGAAGCCCCTTGGATGGGTCAATGATCAGCAGAGGAGGGCGTCTCAACCACCTCTGTAAGTTGAGTGAGATGGAGAGGCGAACAAGAGCGTGAAGCCCCTTGGATGGGTCAATGATCAGCAGAGGAGGGCGTCTCAACCACCTCTGTAAGTTGAGTGAGAGGGCGAGGAGAGGAGGGGGCTGAAACCAGGAGCGTAAGTGAAAGGAATGGTGGGAGCTGCAACCACCATGGTAAGTTGAGAGTGAGAGGGAGAGGAGCGGTAACAACCCCTTGGGGAGGGGAAAGGGAGGGAGCTGCAACCACCAGGGTAAGTAGGGCGAGGGGGGGTTAAAACCCCCAGGGTAAGTTGGGTATGAGGGAGAGGAGCGAGGGTGGTTCAAAACCCATTCTAAGTTGGGTGTGAGAGGGAGGAAGGGTTTAAAACCCCCAGGGTAAGTTGGGTGTAAGGGAGAGGAGCGAGGAGGGTTTAGAACCCCCAGGATAAGCTGGGTGTGAGGGAGAGGATGTTGAGGGAGAGGGGGCGGAGAGAGGGGGTCTCGAACCCCAGTGTGAGGGGCGGAGGAGGAGAGGGGCTTTCACCCTTGAGGGGCTTTCACCCTTGAGGGGCTTTCACCCCTGCGAGGGGGGTTTAGAACACCCAGGGTAAGCTGGGTGTGAGGGAGAGGATGTTGAGGGAGAGGGGGCGGAGAGAGGGGGTCTGGAAACCCAGTGTGAGGGGCGGAGGAGGAGAGGGGCTTTCAACCTTGAGGGGCTTTCACCCTTGAGGGGCTTTCACCCTTGAGGGGCTTTCACCCTTGAGGGGCTTTCACCCCTGAGGGGCTTTCACCCCTGAGGGGCTTTCAACCTTGAGGGGCTTTCACCCTTGAGGGGCTTTCACCCTTGAGGGGCTTTCACCGCTGCGAGGGGGGTTTAGAACACCCAGGGTAAGCTGGGTGTGAGGGAGAGGATGTTGAGGGAGAGGGGGCGGAGAGAGGGGGTCTGGAAACCCAGTGTGAGGGGCGGAGGAGGAGAGGGGCTTTCAACCTTGAGGGGCTTTCACCCTTGAGGGGCTTTCACCCTTGAGGGGCTTTCACCCTTGAGGGGCTTTCACCCCTGAGGGGCTTTCACCCCTGAGGGGCTTTCACCCTTGAGGGGCTTTCACCCCTGCGAGGGGGGTTTAGAACACCCAGGGTAAGCTGGGTGTGAGGGAGAGGATGTTGAGGGAGAGGGGGCGGAGAGAGGGGGTCTGGAAACCCAGTGTGAGGGGCGGAGGAGGAGAGGGGCTTTCAACCTTGAGGGGCTTTCACCCTTGAGGGGCTTTCACCCTTGAGGGGCGTTCACCCTTGAGGGGCTTTCACCCTTGAGGGGCTTTCCACCCTTGAGGGGCTTTCACCCCTGAGGGGCTTTCACCCCTGAGGGGCTTTCAACCTTGAGGGGCTTTCACCCTTGAGGGGCTTTCACCCTTGAGGGGCTTTCACCCTTGAGGGGCTTTCACCCCTGAGGGGCTTTCACCCCTGAGAGGCTTTCAACCTTGAGGGGCTTTCACCCTTGAGGGGCTTTCACCCTTGAGGGGCTTTCACCCTTGAGGGGCTTTCACCCCTGAGGGGCTTTCACCCCTGAGGGGCTTTCAACCTTGAGGGGCTTTCACCCTTGAGGGGCTTTCACCCTTGAGGGGCTTTCACCCCTGCGAGGGGGGTTTAGAACACCCAGGGTAAGCTGGGTGTGAGGGAGAGGATGTTGAGGGAGAGGGGGCGGAGAGAGGGGGTCTGGAAACCTAGTGTGAGGGGCGGAGGAGGAGAGGGGCTTTCAACCTTGAGGGGCTTTCACCCTTGAGGGGCTTTCACCCTTGAGGGGCTTTCACCCTTGAGGGGCTTTCACCCCTGAGGGGCTTTCACCCCTGAGGGGCTTTCAACCTTGAGGGGCTTTCACCCTTGAGGGGCTTTCACCCTTGAGGGGCTTTCACCCTTGAGGGGCTTTCACCCTTGAGGGGCTTTCACCCTTGAGGGGCTTTCACCCTTGAGGGGCTTTCACCCCTGCGAGGGGGGTTTAGAACCCCCAGGGTAAGCTGGGTGTGAGGGAGAGGATGTTGAGGGAGAGGGGGCGGAGAGAGGGGGTCTGGAAACCCAGTGTGAGGGGCGGAGGAGGAGAGGGGCTTTCAACCTTGAGGGGCTTTCACCCTTGAGGGGCTTTCACCCTTGAGGGGCTTTCACCCTTGAGGGGCTTTCACCCCTGAGGGGCTTTCACCCTTGAGGGGCTTTCACCCTTGAGGGGCTTTCACCCTTGAGGGGCTTTCACCCTTGAGGGGCTTTCACCCTTGAGGGGCTTTCACCCTTGAGGGGCTTTCACCCTTGAGGGCTTTCACCCTTGAGGGCTTTCACCCTTGAGGGGGCTGAAACACCTGAGGGGGCTGAAATGAGGGCGAGTGACTGCATTGGGGCTGGGGGAGAGGGGGGGGAGGGGGAGTTGGAGTGTTTCGAAGTGACATGAGAGCAAGGCAGGGGAGGGGGGTTGGATCTCTCAGGGTAAGGCTGGCGAGGGGCAGGGGGGGAGAGGGGGGTTTTGAACCTGCAGGTTAGGGGAAGCGAGAGGCAGGGGAACCCTCCTCCTCTGCCTCTGGTTCGCCTTAACCTGGGGTTTTCATCTCCCCTCTCTTGCCTCTCAATCGCCTTACCCTGGGAGTTTCAGTCCTCCTCCCATGTCCTGCCAGCATGTTGCCTTGAGCTTCCACTGCCTCTCTCTCTCCTTACTCTATCCTCTGCCCCTACCTTTCCTTTAGGGGGTCGGAACCCCCCTATGGCTTTGCCCTAAGCCCTAGGGGTTGAAACCCCCATAAGCCAAGGTGAGGTGAAACACCCCGGGGTTGGTGAGTGGGAGGAAGAGCAGGGGGCTGAAACCACCCCCTAGGTGGGTGAGTGGACGAGAAGGGGGGCTGAATGTCCTAAGTTGGGTGAGCGGAAGGGAAAGGTTGAGCCGAGAGTTCCACATGATAGGCGGCAAATGATGATGCCCCATGTGTTGCCTGATGCCCCACGTGCTGCCTGATGCCCTGTCATGTGGGCTCGTTGGGTCAACCCTTTCCAACCCCTGAGGTATGTTGAGTCAACCCTTGGGTCAACCCTTTCCAACCCCTGAGTTATGTTGAGTCAACCATTGGGTCAACCCTTTCCAACCCCTGAGGTCTGTTGAGCGAGAGAAAAGGGGCCTGAAACCCCCAGGGTATGGTGCGCGAGTGCGGGAGGATAAGTGGGGTCTGGAGTTCCCAGAGTAAGTGGAGTGAGGGGCATGGAGGGGAAGGGGGCTTGCAGCAACCAAGAGGGTAAGTTTAGTAAGAGGGAGGAGGGCAGGGGGGCTGAAACCCCAGGTAAAGGTGAGTGAGAGGGAGAGGAGAAGGGGGGCCTGAAACCCCAGCGTAAGGTGAGTGTGAGGGAGAGGAGAAAGGGGGCCTGAAACCCCAGCGTAAGGTGAGTGAGAGGGAGAGGAGAAAGGGGCCTGCAACCCCAGGGGAAGGTGATTGAGAGGGAGAGGAAAAAGGGGCCTGAAACCTGCAGGGTACATTGAGTGAGACGCAATGGAACCACAAGGGTAGGTTGGTTGAGGGACAAGGAACGGGGGCTGTGCAACCACCACTGTAAGTTGAGTTAGAGGGAGAGGAGAAGGGGGGCAATGCAACCCCCAGGCGTGCAGCAAGCAGGAGAGGAACTTGATTGAGGGAGAACAAATGGCGGCTGCTATCTGCTCAGGGAAGTTGAGGGAGAGGGGGAGGGGAAGCGGCATGAAACCCATCAGGGTAAGTTGTTGAGTGAGGGGGAGAGGTGAAAGGGGGGCCTGAAACCCCCAGGAAATGTTGGGTGAGGGGCAATGGAGGGCCGCTGCAGCAACCCTCAGAGTACGTTATCAGCAACCCTCAGAGGTAAGCAACCGTTTTCTGAGGGGCAAGGAACGGGGGCTGCAAGCACCAAAGGTAAGTTGAGTTAGAGGGCGTGGAGAGAGGGAGCCTTAACCCCCCCAGGTGGGTCGAGTGAAAGGGAGAGGAGGGGACTGAAACCCCCAGGGGGTTGCCACCACCCTCTGGTAGATTCACTCAGGCGCAATGGAGGGAGCTGAGCTGCACGCACCCAGTTAAGTTGAGATCGAGAGGGGGAGGAGGACCGCTTGGAGGAGGGGACTACAACCCCTTGGGGAGTGGCAATGGAGGGAGCTGACTTTTGAGTCAACCCATAAGGCAATTGAGGAATCCCTATCCCCTCTATCCCTATCCCCTCTATCCCTATCCCCTCTATCCCTATCCCCTCTATCCCTATCCCCTCTATCCCTATCCCCTCTATCCCTATCCCCTCTATCCCTATCCCCTCTATCCCTATCCCCTCTATCCCTATCCCCTCTATCCCTATCCCCTCTATCCCTATCCCCTCTATCCCTATCCCCTCTATCCCTATCCCCTCTATCCCTATCCCCTCTATCCCTATCCCCTCTATCCCTATCCCCTCTATCCCTATCCCCTCTATCCCTATCCCCTCCCTATCCCCTCTATCCCTATCCCCTCTATCCCTATCCCCTCTATCCCTATCCCCTCTATCCCTATC